TTCTGCTGTCCTTGCATTAGGGCTCATTATTATCAATTAGTAATATTTGCATTAATTTCAGATATCGCACATTACGCAATTTGTATAAAAAAAACCAACAAATCAAATTAATCGGTGTCTTCGCAACTCTCGCTTAGTAAACGAAGTCCTCATTTAAAATAATATCCATTTGGACCGAGGGCAGTGTTCTTAGACTGTGGGGCTCTAGCGGGTGGTGGAGTGTGAAGGGGGGGTGTTCAGGAGGGCGTTGGTTGCGCAACGCATTACAATAACGCGACATTACGTGCCGCGGCCGCTGCGCCCGCGCCGGGGTCATGCGCCGCGCTCCGATTCGGGGAATGATGACGTTGCGCACCTAGGGTTGTCAGTAGTTGCTACCCAGAGTAAATTCTAATTACAATGATATATGTAGGTAATAGGTAAAAGATTATATAATTCAATTCATTCATAACATTTTGAACATTTTACCAGCGAAACAGTCTTTCTTCAAAGGAACATACATGGAAAATCGATACAATATTATGAGCTTTGCATAGATATCTACTAACGTGTTACATTAATTAGTTGCTTTGATAGCAACTAATTAATAATTTTTTGACGTAATTTTTTCATGCAGGTTTTTGACGTTTTTAGTTCCATTTTTCTTTAGAAAAATATTCGTTTTCAAACGTAAACTGCCTACAAATACACTGCCTTAAAATGAGTGTAAGAGTAATTTCCATTACACCACTAATTTCGATAGAGTATCTCAATCTATATGAAAACTAAGACATATTAAATAGCTTTTATAATGTTTCAGTATGTAGCGCTGTGCTGTAATATGTATTACAAAAAAGATTTATTAATAACAAATTCCCTGCCGCAAAAATTTATTTAATTTGTAATGCTGACAACATTTTGTAATTTTGTCAATTATCTTGTTGCATTCTTATCAACTACCTAATATCTAAACTTTTTTCAATACAAAATTTTATATGAAAATCAATACAAATACACTCTTTAGTTGATATACCTAAGCCGAAAACTTATGCATAAAACACGCAGTTTCTTTGTCTATTTAAATCTTTCTATGATAGGTACTATAGATGTAAATACCCATCGTTATTCTTCACTTAGATGATTATACGAGTACATACAAACATATTATGGAACTCCCTGATTTACGAAGCGATGTTTGATGCTTCCATTTACTTCGTAATTGTTGGTTCCTGTACTAACAGGTGAAACTACAGTTCTAATAATATTTGTGCATTTGTTCTATAATTAGCTACGTATTCAACTATAAGCAATTGGTCCCAAAATCCTTTGAAAAAGAGAAATTTGGTATAGTATTTGATAAATAGTTAATATTCGTGCCTACTACGTTATAAGTAGCAAACGCAAGAGAAAAGTATATTTAATGCATTCAGAAAACAGAGAGATGTTTGTATAAATTGAAAAATTTTGTATAGGAGCCCTATATCTGCTTGAATTCCTTTGAGTAATTAAATAGATAGATAAACTTTGCATCTATCTGTATAGATAGATATCTAATTCCGGTAACCAATTCATATTTCTATCACTAATGTGCACTTTCATGACTGTGACCTTTCGGGTTTAAGTCTGAAGGTGTTATATGACAGAAATATAGCACCCTAAGACAAGAAGAAAAAGTAGAAGACAAGGTATGGAAGCATAATATCTTAATCCTGAGAAATACCAAAAAAACTCTTCATGTATCTATAGGCGACAATTATCACTTCCCATCAAGTAGGTCGTCAGCTTCTTTGTTTATTCAAAACGCATTTTAAAATATGAAAAGGAATATGACTATTATCCTAAATATGGGATCGGCCTAGTATTTTATTCATAAGACTCAATGTTTTGGCTTTTGGTTTTACTACCTACCGCTTGATATGAACCCTCCTAATAGTTATACCATTATTATTTGAAATAATATACCTAAGCATATATCTATTTCTATCATGATGTAGCAATGGTATCAAGTCTCCGATCAGAGACGAGAAGAGAGAATCAGTTCAATCTCTGACGCACTCTTTATTATTAAGAATAACAATGAGACGATAGGTACTACGGCACAGACCATGCATATCGAGATAAAATTTCACTGTACAAACGCCCCATCAAAAATTAGTACAACTATTTTTCCTGTGGGAACTTCTATCATAGACGTAGGTTTACACGATATATAAGTAATAAAGTTCGCCAATATATAAGTAAATAAAGATATCAAAACATTAAATTAAAAAATACCCATAAAATGGTATATTTTTTCATGTTAAAAAAAGACATCGCCAATAATTGGCTGAAATTTTTAGGACATTATTTGAAATTCAATGTTTATATAATAATAATAATCAATTGTATGATTTTCCATTCTACTGTTGCTGTCTGTATAGGTGACTCTTACCACTTTCTATGGACTAATAGAATGCTGTTGTTTGCAAGTTCCAGTTGCTTAAAAAAGTTACTGAAAATTGCGAATCTTTCACCGTACAAAGCACATCAACATATAATACGAATTTGATGTTATGCATTAACTAACAGGTAACATGGACAGAATAATCAAATATAAATGTTCGTGCTTTCGAATACAGCAAATAATAATTCATGACTTGTAATTTAACCTCCATAGCTATATCCATTATCGCTGTTTTCTGATACATCATGCTAACTGTGTTAGTTCTAAGAATTTTATGTAAAGTAATATAAAAAAAAATTGCTTACCCTACAAACAGTGAGTACAGATAACCAAAAATATCTGGGGCAAAGGGTGGAGGGCGTAATCAATGAAAACTCCTTGTTATCTTCAAAACACGTGCAATAAACTAAATATCATATAGGTATGTACAGAAGGGTTCTTTAAGGCATCCTTGTACATCGCTCTTGCGAAATAAGTACTGCCACATATCTATTTACGTTCCTCGTGGTATAATCAACCCTATTGTATTATTACCATACAGTACAAAAACAGTCACTTACATTAAATTCATATAACGTTAGACCATTTTAACTGCTAAGGATCCCGGATGCTCGCACGTTAATACCTAATTTGAATGTATTTGTTTTCTTTTGCCTCTGATGTGAAATAGAATCGAAGAATTGCATACTTATCTAGTTTTTAAAACAGAACGTGAGGCTAGATGTTAAAATCAATTCAATTTATTTATTGCATTCTATAATATTATTATAAAAGATATTAATAATTGATACAGTACATTGTAAACCTTGTCTGGCACAGCAATTAGAAGCGAGGAGGGCGTCGATCCTTAAATTTTTATAAAGATTTCAATAGTTAAATGTAGTTTTATGTCAGTCCCATGTAGCATAATTTCCATAACAAAAACTGCAACGGTATTATGTACAGTCAGTCATTCAAACTATATGTATTCTCATTCTTGAGAGGAGCCATTTTTAATCTTTCCATCGAAAGGTCGTTTCTTTGTTAAATACATAATATTTAGCATGTTTATCAATAATTCCTTTTCATGTGGTGAAAAATTATAGCATATCACCGTTCGTGGTCATTTTCAGGGATTCTTTAGGCGATAAATAAACGAAACAAAAAGTAATATTGCAAAAGGAAGAATATGGTAAAAGAGGGCTATGTACCTCTTCCAATGGAAAGAAAAGGCGGAAAGGGAAAGACGATACCCAAAAGCGAGATACAAGGTAGGTATGGATAATGTTTCTCTAATTGCATACTTAGATTTAAATTATATTTGGACCATAGACAAAATGCTGAATTCACTTGAAAGATTTTCCTGCAATGCGATTCTTTCTTTTAATTTTTTTTTAACTGTCTCTTAGGTATATTATTTTAATAAAGTTAATAATAAAAAGAATTAGTTTTAGATGCTATATTCCTTCAAACTTATTCAGTGTTTCTAGTAGGATTAGAACACAAAGATACAAAATTATATATATCACTGTAAATCATACGATTTTGAATAGTCAACACTAGGTAGTCGACTCGATTAGCAAAATGGCGATAACCAGACTGATCACACACAAATTACCTATTTAAACCAAGCGAATCTACTTTTATTGCATATTAAAAGTGTCTAGATATTGATATTTAAATTCAAAAATAGAATCACATCTGTCGCTCGAATCTAACAGAAAACCAGTGATCCCGCTGTCCACGCAAGGATGCGCGGGCGACGCGCGTTTCTTTTTAGAAAGTGGCACGTGGCGGGGTTGTTCACCCTACGCGATCCGGGTCAGCCGTGCCCCTCCCCGTACCTCGTTGTCACCGCCCGCACCGTCGTCTACTACCTCGCTACTTACTGTAGTCCTTGATAAGGAACTTCATTGAGCCCAACCCAAAACGTGTCGAAGTCTCTTACAGTACCTATCATCATGTGCCGTTTAAAAAGCTAGATGTAGTCCTATTCGTATTACAAAAGTTGGATATGGGAGTTATTTATTTCGTTTTGCAAAAATTATATAGTTTTATATATCACATTTTCCATGACTAAACGTAGTTTTTTTTTATATACAACTTAGAATGGCAAACAGGCTGACGACCCACCTGATGGAAAGGGGTAACCGTCGCCTGTAGACATGAGCAGTACCATAGACATAACGGAGTATACTGTTTCGCCCATGATACCCTCCATTTGCCATTTGCCGTTGCCATTCCTGAGGACTCAGGTGTTATTCCTCTGTACCCTATAAATTCACGCTGTAAATGTTGAGTCATAGAGAACAATTATTTATAATTTTAAATTGTGTTCTACAAAAAACAACTTCAATTGTGGCAAAACTAGTTATTTATATTTAAAAACTTTTTGATAAAATTTCTATGACACCAATCTAAATGTATGTCTTTTCAGATAGAAAAAGAATTTACCAAATGAGTTCCTTACTAACGGAGTTATGAGGTAACAAACTTATAAAATATACATATATCCACCTTTTATGAGATTGGTTAAAAATAAAAATGTGCAGAAATGATTACCAAACAATTTCAGATAAAAAATATATTTCTAATAAAAAAATTATACATATGTCTTACATAATAAAAAAATTACTAATAAAATACAAAAATACAAAGAACATAGCTATTTATACTATTATAAGAATATATAGACATGTGATGCATGTGACTTACATAGAACTTCTATTAATTTTACTAATAACTGCTTAGTAAATAATAGATAACTTAGCTTTAAATACAATAGAAATGCATAAAATAGGCACTTATTACAAGCAAATTGCTTAATTCGAATTTCAAATTATTCAAATAAACAAAAAAATTATCATAGACTAAATTGCAAATAGAATTATAAATCCCCGACCTACCTAATTAAAACCACTTTTTTTATTTCAATATCTAATTAATTTTTTTTTTATTTACATAATAAATTCTAATTTAAGTAAATAACCCATCCCGGACGTAGATAGCGACATTACATTTACTGAGACGAGACGAACAGTAGCTCAGTGCCACATGTAGGTATTAATTAACGCTCACCGGAGGGAAACGGCGGGAACTCAAGCCGTCCTCTCCTCCACGTAAGTACTCTAAGGTCTGTGTCCTCTATTAAATGACATGTATCTAATGTGACAAAATAATTTAATATAAGATACCAAATACCGAGTAAAACTATACAAAATACCAAGAAATAAGAGATACAAAGAATACATATTTTCAAGCGGATATGCATAAAATTTTGCCTTAACTTACATAACTTCAGTGCTACGTTTAAGACAATAAATAGGTATATTGCATTACATTAATAATAATTTAAAAATAGGCTGGCCGCAGTGATACAGTTAATCTAATATTTACACATGTTACGTATTATAATTTCGATAGTTCTTACCTGCCCTAAATTGCTGATATAAAAATAAATAAATATATGTCTAAATTATAATTATATACTTTGTTATACATGAATATAAATCATCATGTCATTTATGATTAACATTTATGGTGTTGTCCGTCGGTGCAGCAGAACTCTTTTCCAGCTGAGAAGCTAGTAGGCATCCAGTCTCCACCACAGTTCTTGATGAAGAGGTAAGCTTTCTCGCGGTGTATATCGCGTTCCACTGCTCCACATATAACTGGGCCAGCTCGGGGTAGGTATTTCAATATCTAAAAACCCATGAAAAACGTTACTAAATGTATGTATGAGAATTAACTTTCTACTAAACTACTACTAAGAAAAAGATATTGCTCCACAAAAAATATCAATAATTCTTATCGATTGGAAACAAAAATCGCATTCGATTTATAAATTAATAAAGATATCGGGTGTACACACAACAATGTTAGGCGAACTAAGATTGCTCGTCTTTTTAAAATGATTAATAAAAGAGATATTACTTACGTAAAAAAATACTGCTATATTAAATATTATAAATGGTAAAGAATGAAGATACAATGATGCACCCGACTGTGCTAACAGTCAATGGCGAGGCACTAGTATTAGATGAAACAATAAGGACGAAAACAGTTCTGTTGGCCCATTGTGGTGAATTCATTACAAATTAGCCAAGATGGTTGGTTCCACGGGGTCCTTTTAGACCCTGCTATTTATTCTTTTTTAATAGTATAATAAACAGTATACTTACCACATCAAGACATTTGTTGACGCAATGCTTGAAGCCTCCACCACCGCATGGTAAGCTAGGGGCGTCCGTATCGTAGGTGACCACGGGCTCGCCTTCTGGTGGACCACGGGGCCTGCTGCGGCGACCTTCCTTTACGCCTACTTGTTGCGACATGAACACGCCGCACTGGCAGGGCTCCAGCTAGAGCGACCACAAGTTTAAAAGGAGCATTATTTAAGCCAAATGAGGTCAACTATGTGTATAGCTGTCTGTTTTGTCACTGCCACAGTATAATCCTACTAATATTATAGATGGGCAAGTTTGTAAATATTCGTTACTCAATCACGGAAACGTTGGAGTAGATTTAGGTAAAATTTAGCACATAAATAAAACCATTTGCTAATGAAAAATGATAATACTAAAATAAAACCAGTAAAACAATGTAAAGACCGACAAATACGACACGAATTGAACGTGAAATAAGGTCACATATTCGATTCTCGGTCAATTATATTTAAATAAAGAACTAAGTAAGAGTTCTGAATTGTGATCCCAGATCTCCGTTTAGTTTCTTGTACTCGTAACACCATTTCTTAGGTTAAAGATGTACTCATAGCAATTAGTAGTTAAAATTGTAAAGCACTTCAAAAATAAACGATTTAATTTAAATTCTTTTTTTTTTATATTAAGGAAAATCTTCTTAATAATATAATAATAATATTAATAAAATTCAAATAAATGCAAGTATATACCTATAATAAACATTTTTAAATATTCAATCATCTAATTAGAAGATAATATAAAATTATTTAAAAAAAGTTGTACCCCTATTATATAGATCTTATAGCTGTAACGTTTTACCTACTGTTTGCCCTTCTCTTGATATTCACTCCATGGTCAGATAATCAATAAATACAGTCACTTTTGTCGTATGCTATGTAAACACATTATTATCCCCAGTTTTGACTAAAATACATATAAAACGCAAAATATATTGTGTTTGCGACATGGTATATGACTTTATCCCTTATGCTGTTTTAACTTTTTTATTAGCTCTAAGAACATAGATATCTCATTACTTTCTTATGGATTTTTAATAACCGGAACTAGAAGCTTCATTGCTAGCAATATACCTGCTGTCATTCCTGTGCGACCATCTGGTTGACCTCCAAACCTATCTTTGGAAACATAGTCACACAACAAACTGACTAGTCTTCTTTCTCACCTATCATTGGTATCTCGCCAGTACAAACTAATATCATAATTGGAGTTACCATTCTATTTTTATCCATAAAAATACCTTCCGACCGACAATTTAAGACAGTAGTTAATTTTAAACTTTCGCGTTATTTACACACTTTTTTATCAAACAATTGGGAAATGTCAAGAATAAAGAAGCAGATATGTAGGTACTATTTACCTGCAAGTTTTTTCATCGCGTTAAGTCCTAATTGTGTATTTACAATAATAAATAATTTGAAAATACTAATAAAAACTAACTAATTACTTAATATACGATTATAATTAAGCAAAAATCAAATACCTCATCGTAGTTGCCATCAAATTCGACGTTTTCAATAGATTTCAAACTCTCTTCTTGGTCTCGTTTCAACTTCCTCCGGCCCTCGATGTCGATGGCTAGGTATAAGCCGATGACCAATAGTAGCCATGTGCGTGCACCTTGCATTTTTGATAATAATAGTTATTACTTTCACTTCAGCCTCTGTAATAAAAAATCACTATTACTATACAGAATAAAAAATAAGTGTGGGAAATCTGAAAATTGCTTTATAAAGGGAAATTCCAAGGTTCGTACAGACATGTCAATTAGAGGAATATATGTTTTAAAAAGGTATTTTTTGTAACTAAAAATGGAATGATAATCCGTCTGCACTATTGGAATATATATGCGGAACACTAATAAGAGATGATAGAATAATGATAAGAATGAAGTTAGATCAATTAATCAATCAGGATACATCCACTGGGAATCAGCCACAATAGTTTCCAAGAAGAACCGCGTGGAGATTGACTTGATAAAAGTTTGCTAGTAATGTGGGGCCCACTATATACAAATCTTATCAAGTCGGGACAAATTTTTCAATGTTTTCCAGTCCCATTGTTTCAAGGACTGGAGACAGGAATAGCCAAGCAGATGACTTTTGTACAGCTTCCAGCTGAGGAACTATTTTTTTTTAAGAATGATAATGGAATGGTAACCCTGCCTGCGCTATCGGTATACACTGGCGGGGCACCAGTGACGGATGAAAGGTGAAGATGAAATAGGTCAGTTAGCCCATCATGACAAATTCACCAATGAATTAGCCACGATGATTTCCAGGGGGAACCTCGAGGAGGTCGACCTGATAGGGTATATTGCTAGTAATAGGGTTGCTAATTCCCATTACCAACAATCCCTTTCCCCCCGCCAAAGAACTATTATAAATACAATTGAAATAGTTGATTAACAAACAAAACGATAGTTGCACTACCTAGTTACTGATATAGGTAAGTGATAAAGTAGTATACTCCTACCGAAATGAAGCAGCCACAAATTGCTAAACTGAATATTACAGCATAACAATAGAACCAATAAAAGAAAGATTTATACAAAGTACTTACATAAAATGACTATTTCGATGAATCCTCCTTTACATCACTATTTGATTTAATGTCGCTTACTGAATGGGTACAGTCTTACCTTATCTTTATAAGTCTGGAGCAGAAGCCTAAGAATTCAATGAATTTATTAATGCATATTCAGCAAATCGCGTGTGACAGAGAAACGTGCCTCAAAATTAGGTACCTCATAAATCTCGGACGTGATCCATTCAAAACGACAGATAATGCAGGTATTTCTAGCGATAAGCAACGTGTTTGAATAATTTATATAATTAATTAAGCATAATTAAATAGTTTTGTAAAAAGAATTAATGCATTTAAGATTATTTTCCAAACTGAGTGAGGGATTTCTCTCTAAAAAACACAAATATGACAACAGACATGTCTTATGTATAACTGTAAAAATACACTCGCATACTGGGGTTTTTTAATGGTTGATAATGGAATGGTAACCCCGCTTGCGCTATTGGTATATGCTGGCGGGGCACCAGTGACAAATGATAGGTGAGGATAAAGGCAGGACAGTCGGCCCATCGTGAAGAATTCTACAAGAATTAACCACGATGATTTCCAAGGAGAATCGCGTGGAGCTCGAACTGATAGGACATATTGCTAGCAATGGGGTTGTTAGAACCCATTATTAAGAAACCCTTCCCTCTTCAATTTTCAGTGGAAAAGAACAAGTAGATATAAGTACTTATAACAAACTGCTTGATAATAATAGCCCATATCTTCCTAAAGTTGTTAGAGGAAGGGATTATTAGTAATACGGACCACAGATTAGAGAAACTGATACCGACTACCAGTCCCACTGCTACCAATATATCCTGTCAAATTGACCTCCACGCGATTTCCCCTGAAAATTTTTGAATTCCAGGTGTATTCATCGCTATAAGCCAACTAGCCTTTTCATCCTCCTCTATCACCCCTCATTGGTGTCCTGGCAGTATTTGCCCATAGCGCAGGCGGGGTTACCATTCCATTATCATCCATAAAAAATTAAGTTTATTGTGAGAATAGATTAATGGTTGGACAATAGACACATACATAGATTACAAACTTGTAACGCTTAGGTACTTACTTATAGCCTTAGTAGTTGATATTTGAAATTACAGAAAAAACATAAATCAATGAAAATTTGCGACCAAACACCAAAATTCGCCAATTCGTGGTCAAAAAATTAATATTTTTGTCCCTACTTGTTTTTATCCCAACAAGTTAGGACTATCACATATTTGTTTTCACTTATAACACATCACTACAAGTATTCGTGTGTGGAAATTAGCCGGCAACTTTCAGTTAGATTTGTTACTTGTATATTTTAAATAAACTGCCCATGCGCATTCATTTAAATAGACTTGTTTATAAGCATTTTTAAATTGTAATTTTTTTATGAATCTACTGCAGGATTCGGAAAGTGGTTTTATGCTAAGAATCCGCAAGAAACAACAATTTTTCTATTAAATCTCTGTTATAATTATTTGTATTTATTTAAATGTACTATGTAAAATTACATGGTCAATAAAATGCCCGTGTATGATCAATTAACACCATATGTCATTCAAATATTCGTTTGGTATGTTTGTTTGTTCAATATATATTTTTAATAATAGTAAGTAGGAAGTATATAAAACATCCTATGTTTTAAGTTAGGATATAATCTGTTTGTATACAAAATTTCATTTAAATCCGGTCAATAATTTTTGCCTGTATGAGTGCCCAGACATTCAACTTTACAAAGAACTTATAACTTATGTAAAGAAAAATGTAGGCTACTACTACCAAGGAGTTTATTATAAGTATTTATATCACTTGTCCTCTTTAACTGGGAATTTATGTATTTTTTTTTCGATGCCTGATTGACCCCAATCAAATAGGAGATTGTTTTTTTTTTTTTTGATGAGTGAAAATGGTATGGTAACCCCGCCTGCGATAACGGGATACGCTGGAAGAAAAAGATTGTTAGTTATCAGATCGATATCCATATGGTCCTACCTGGAATCATGATTAATTCCTAGTCAGTTCGCCACGTACTAATTGACCTGGTTAGGTCATTTTCATCTATCATCCACTTCTGATATCCCGTCAGCGTATACCGTAATATTTTCATCCCATAGAAAAAAAGAAACAAAAATAGATGAGTAAGTCTTTAATAGCAATTTTATTACTCCGGGCAAAAATAATTGCCGTCCTTTTAACAGTCTACCGAACTCATTTCTACCATCTAAACATATCGATCTGTCAAAAAGTACCTACATAAATTTTATACATACAGATTAATATACTTACCTATCAATATCCATTTTTATATCTATACTAATATTATACAGAGGAAAGATTTTATTTTTTGTATGTTTGTTTATTTGTAATAGATCCTCAATAATTACTTAACAAATTTTAAAAATCCTTTCATCTATTGAAAACTGCATTACCATCCTCACATTATTAAAAAAAAAATTTGCGAACCCATAAAATCTACAATAATGTAACTCAAAGTAAATTTGTCCATTAAAGCTGATATAAAATACAAATTAATCTTTCTCAATCTATCACGGATAGACCCGTGCCGTGCAAGAGCAGAGCAATTATTACCATCATCCGGCAAGCCACATCAGAGGCCTTCGTATTGAAAGGAGAGCTACCTAGAAACTCTTGACACTAAAGGGCGACCCTCGAGGAGTAGGTGAGTATAATAAGATGCAATCATTTATAAAAACAACTATTAGACGAATTATTAGTTTTAATAGCTATGCCAAAATCGTAAAATGACGATGTTACATTACTTAAAAAGATTTAGAATACCATTAATGCATACTACTAGGTCGTAAACGAAATTATTGGCTTCAAAAGAACTTCTCAATATGAAATAAACAACGAGAATGTGAAGTGATAGTTAAACACTAGTAAGATTCATCCCTTATTGGAAATAATACTCGTGTAATAATATAATAGTCCTGGATATATCATATAATGCCATCAAGACTCAAAGCAGGGCTTGTATTATGAGTTCTATAAATCTGATATATATACTTAAATACATATATGTATACATAAAAACGCTCATACGTATACATTCTCATGTATACAAATATTTTTAGGTATTTTTCGATTTACACTGACGTCATCCGATGAATCTGTATGCCATTACATAGCTAAGATTATCAGATTTACATATAGGAATCAAACCACCTACAAATTCAAAACGATTTGATTATAAAGTTATTATAAAATATTATATTATTTTATATAACTGTGGCAACAATGACTATATTAAAAAATGACGTTTAAAGCACTCTTTTCCATTCCATTCTATATCAACTGTAATTGTGTTATATGTTATTAATAACACCAACAAATATATATTACAGTCTATTCATATTTAAAGCAATTTAAAGGTTAATTCGTTATTAAACAAACATCCTTTATACTCCTTTTTAGTTAAAGCAGAATAATCTAATTCCATCAAACAACAGTTCACAGCAATAAAAAAAATTAATCCTCTCTCCATAGATTCACAATTACCACAATTTTAATTGAATAAATATTCCAATGAATGCAATATTGTTATCATACAATTTCAACTTTACATGCTAAAATTAAACAGTTCACAGCCCTCAATAAATGGGATCATCATTTTATAAAATATTGATCAAATACAATAATTTAATAAGCACACTACTCTAGCCAAACTTTTAAGAAATCCTAAAAAATATCCTAACATTTATAGCTCACTACACTACTTTTTTTTTTAAAGGTATGGTGTCTAAGGAATATTGCCAATTTCAATTTACATAAGGTGAAAAAGTATAAATAAATATAAAAATAACAACTGATTTTAATAACAAAAAAGTTTTACAAAAAGCTTAAAATAAAAAGTACAATATAAAATTTTAAATTTCGAACGTGAAATTAGAATCTCATATGTAACAATTTGTAACAATATTAAAAAAATATTCCAATCAAAATTCGAAACTAAAACGTAATATCGTAAGTAGTTCATGAAATTGTTCATATCACATAGTAATATAATTGTACTTATTTATATAATTCAATATCTCTCAATCGTATTCAATTACAAAATAAAAACATAACTGATATAACTGGTTTACAAGGTTATCATAGACAAACAGAACCTAACTATAAAATAAAACTGAGTCTAAGTTAATCACAAATCCTTAAGAAATAATATTATTTATATTTACAATAATTAATTCATTGTGCTATTTTTAATTACACACATGAATATATATTTGCAAAGTATTCCCATAGACAAGAAACTAAAAGACAATATCATTATATTCTTAATATAGTATTGCATTATACTTTATCAGCTCTTTCTATGGAATTTCTTTATACAAATTGAATAAACATAACAAAGAATTTATAACTTAATAAAAAAAATATTTCAAAACAACATGTATTTTACGAATACAGATTCAGAGAAGACAATTACAAATAAATAATGAGCTAGAGACTATCAGTCTTAATTAGTTATCAACTAATTATATAATAATGGACAATAAATGGACAGAATTTTCGATTTAGATTTGTGGTGTTTATTTTTTTCCGAGCAAAACCTAATCTAATGTAGAGCTAAATTGTACTTTATAACTATTCACTAAGTATTACTTTTGAAAATTATTATTTAATTGGCACATGTTAATGAGAGCCTCTTGGACTCATGTTTTAAAAACATAGGGATTAATTTAAATTTTATCCAATATTTGAAACTGTTAGATCTACAATTTTACAGTAATAGATCTTATAATTTAAAATAAATTATCTTAAGAATAAAACTTCTTAATCACTTCTAACAGTCTTTGGCTAACATCAGTTTAGCCTCACCTTCAAACACAACCTTCTTTTCCTCTTCTACTATGCAGTAAAACTTCACCTTGAGTATTTTTCTGACATCCACTAGCTCAACACTGATGGTCAGTTTCTCACCAACAAAACATTTGTTAGGAAACTTCATAGTTTGTGATACTAGCACTGTACCTGGTCCAGGCAAATGCGTACCTATGAGGCCTGCCACTAACCCATTCAGTAATGCTCCATGCACAATTGGCCGCTTGTTACCACTGTTTTGATGCAAATAATTGTGATCACTTGTTAGATTTGAGAAAGCATCTAGATCTTTCTGTGTTAGTGTTTTCTGTATTCTAATTTTGTCACCAGCCTTAAAAGCAGTGCTACTAAATGATGTTGTGTGAATCTTACATATCTTTTGATAGTTCTTATTGTTCACCGCAATGTACGGGAATCTATTTGACAAGATTTTGTTCATTATGAAACAAATTTGTTTAAAGAGAAATGATTAACATTTTATTTTGTACTGCAAATATCTTCCAAAAATATAGTTGCAAGGTTTGCTAAAATTCTGTCTTCTGAATTTTTCAGTGTTTGTATTGTTTGGATCACCTCAGAACTTTTTATTTCAGATTTAGTTTGGTCGTTATAAAGATATATCAATGTCGTAATTGCATCAGCTGCTATTTGATTATTAGAATTCAATAATTTTATTATTGGCTTCAGTCCATTTTGTGTCAAGATATACTCAGCATTTAATGGTTCTGTAAAATAGGAAAAACAAATATTATTCTTCTAGGAATGTTAAAAGTTTTACATATATTTCAAATTTTATCTAGAAAATTCTTTCAACAAACTTCACAAATAAAAGACAAATATTACTCTTTCAAACTGTTGAATTTTTGGTATTGCAACAAATTCTACATAGCAGTTGGCTAAAATTAGCAAAATAGCAGCAGTTAGAGATATGGGAAAAATAATCATAAAATAAAAAAATTAAAACTGTAAAACTCACCAGAACATAAGTTGCAAACACCTGCACATGCAAATTGTAGTAATGTTATATTTGTTTCATGTTTAAGAACATGTAGGAAAATGTCTAAGACTCCAACATCTCTAATATATGCATAATTTATTGGATCATAGGCAAAATTAGCCAAATTAGCTAATACTTGACACTTAGCATCTGAAAAATTTAATATAAATGAGACACATGATAATGAGGCAAAATTAAAATATTCATTATTACAGAATTGGCTAACAACACAGTGCAATGGTTTCAGGGTTCAGGTATTATTGTATCCCACCATAACTTCTAAATGCCTAAACAGATTTAAATGGAGTATCATTAGAATCCTTACATGGTTCCAAATGACATTGGATATAATTTCTTTTAAATACTCATAGTATGTTTTTTTGAACTCTTGTTTTCAATTTGCGGATCAAAATATACTTCGTTTTCATACGTATTTATTATTTCACTTTTTAGCCTTTCCCATCCGCTGCTATGAAAATGCATCCAGAGTGCTTGCATCATTTAACTGGTATATTAATTATAGAAATTAAATCAATAGATACCCTTAAGGATGACAAACTGAAGATAAAACTCCTATAGATACGAGGTCTGTCCGGAAAGTTCGTATAAAAGTGTTCTGGAATGCGAGAAAGAGGAGTGGGGAGGCCAGGTAAGCGCAGGACCCCTTCCTTATGTCCCTAACAATGCTTCAGTTCTGGTCTGACCGCCGTGCGGTGCGAACTGGCTTGTCACGCCATCTGTGAAGTTACCTCTTAACGAAACCCCGTCGGCATGGAGCCCGCTTCCGTTGAAGAGCAGCGCGTCGTAATCAAGTTTCTCTCGAAACTCGGCAAGAATGGCCGTGAAAGCAAAGAGTGGAAGACATCCGGGGAACCACGAACAAAAAAATCAAGAAAATCCCGCTCAAATGTCAAGACAATGTTGATTGTTTTTTTCGATGTTCGGGGGATTGTCCATCAAGAATTCGTCCCTCCAGGCCAGACAGTTGATGGAAAATTCTACGTCGATGTGCTCAGACGCCTCAAAGCTCGTGTGGCACGAGTTCGTCCAGAATTGGCGCGAGAGGGGCGTTGGATTCTTCACCACGACAATGCCCCTGCCCACACCTCTCTTGTTGTCCGTGAGTTTTTGAGTAAAAATTCCATTACGGTGACCGAACACCCCCCTATTCGCCGGATTTGGCCCCGTGTGACTTCTTCTTGTTCCCAAAAACCAAATTGGTACTTCGGGGGCGGCATTTGGGGGACATAAATGAGATAAAAAAAGCTACGACGGGGCAGCTGAGAAACCTACAACCAGAGGACTTTCAAGGAGCCTTCTCACAGTGGAAACGGCGTTGGCACAAGTGCATTATGTCACAGGGGGAGTACTTTGAAGGGGATAAAATTGATTTACCTGAATAATTGTAAAATAAAATTTTTAAAAACTTTTATACGTACTTTCCGGACAAACCTCGTATTCATATACAACTTTAAATCAAACTATATATTAAATTAAAATATATATTAGGTGTATTAAGCATAAAAATAAAAAATATTCGAATAGCCATTTGATACATTGCATACAAACATATTTAGAGAATTATATAAATTACCTACCATGCGAAGAGGAATTTATAAATTCATCTACTAATAATGACAAGAAACTTTCACGATCAGTGCCATTTTTAGGAGTACGCTTCTGTAGTTGAAATTTACTGCTAAACATTGAAGGAGATTTAGCAATTCATCATTAATTTTACAATAACCTCACAAGTAATCGAGCAATAATATATAAGAAATGTTAAATTTCATTAAAAACAAATGAATTTTTCTTTTCTAGACGGAAACAACCGCAAGTTTTAATAACGCCATCTTGAAATGAATGAATGAAATGAAGTAATACATTAAAATAATAAATACGTTAAACACAAATATTGGATTTATTTCAAGCAAAAACAGGTTTATAATAAAATTTTAAAAGTATTTTCTACTCTAAATTTAGTTACAACATGTATTCATCATTATCATCATTTCAGTCATTATCCGTCCACTGCTGGACATAAGCCTCCCCTACATACTGCCATAAAGATTGGTCCTGAGCCACCTACATCCACTGACTCCCTATAATGCACTGCGTTTGCCAGTACGCGGTCACCACTCAAGAATCTTTTTTCCCCATCGGTTGTCGGTTCTTCGAGCTATGTAACCAGCCCATTGCCACATGTATTAAAGATCATCAATATCCATAAACGTAATATAATACTATAATAAATTAAACAATAGTGTTAAAATTGTCTTCGCCTCAGCATAGACAAAAAAAATCCTGAATGTATTTATATATCTATGGTAGTCGTTATTATTATTATTATTCTTAATCTAAACTATAATTAACTGTCATATCATTATCATTCATTTTGAATGTCACTTATTCTTAATCTGTGGCTTTATTCTCATTCATTCGCTAATCCCCGACTAACGTCAAATGTAAAAGAAAACACATTACCTATTTTTTTTATAAAATGTGCGAATAGAAAGTGTTGTAAAATGAAAATCTTATAATTAACAGTTTAGAATAGTATTATAACTAAAATGGTAGCCACTCCACACATTACCGGTGAATTGAAAATCTATTTTCCTTTTAATTTATATCATGAGACAGGTTATAAATTAACATTATCTTATTACAGGTCTAACCAACAAAAACATTTTTCTTGTTGAATTCAAAGAACCATATGGAGAAACAACCCTTAGAGATGAAACCACTCCGAACATACGGAGTATTATATACAGTCCTAAAGGCACATATCTCGCTTACAGAAGTGATAGAAAGTATGTAATGTTACTTGTATATATTCACATTATATATTTATAAATACATACATATAAATACGCGTTACCTTTTATATAGGTATTTTGCAAGAGAGAAAATAGGTACTAACTCGAGGCTAGCCTCCTTAAGTAATGGGAATTTTAATGCACTATCTTTATTTATGCTTAAAACTAAAATTTCATTTTACTCTGATCCTTAAATAATATTTTACCGAAATTTATATGCTAAGAGCTAGTGTAAACTATATTTGTAATAGAAATTAATCTGAACAATTTTACATTTGTTATTAGTTATCTGTATGTAATATGCTAAAGTTAAAATATAGAGTGGTTCCTCGGAATTGACTCTAATGATAGTTTATCTTTATAAAATCATAAGTATAGTAAGAACTAAGGTTCTTTTGACCTTTATCAATAATTATACTATGTAGTACAAAATCTGTAAAATAATAAATTAATTCTAATTAAAAATAATATAAAAGTAAAAAGGAAAGTTACAATAAAAAAATTGAAGGATTGTGTGAAAGATGATGTATATGCATAAAGAGATGTGAGCTAGTAAAAAAAGATGACATATTGCACCAACCTTAATTAAGAGGAAGCCAAAGCAATGTGCTCTACAGTAAAATTAATAAACAAAATAATACCAATGTAATGTTAATAATATTATTGCCATTTAATCATCATACATGAAAGAAAGATTCTTGAGTACCCTGTATGGGCAAACAGTGTAGGATGATGCCCACTAAATGAAGTAACAGCCTTAAATGTGTTGCAGGGCGTCAGTGAATGCAGGTAGTTCAGGACTGTTCCTCATATAGCCTTTGTTCAGCAGTGGACAGATAATGGCTGATATGATGATAATGGTGACATGTGTTTGTACATAAGTTACATACATAGTTCATTTGAATAAGTAATTAGAATATTTATTTATTACCAAGTAAGTAATTAGTATTGTTATTGAAAAATATGATTTTAGGGCTGAAATAATAAAATGTGGAGATTGGACAACAGCTGCAACCATAGAGGGAAATATCAAGGATATGTTTTTCTCGCCTTTAGATAATTACTTCATGGTTTGGGAGTTGTTTGTCATGACAAAAGACAATCCTCAGGTATTATTATACATATGAAATTGTATTATATTTTCTTTATTTCTTTTGCCATTAATGCACACAACTACTCATTTTTGAGGCAAAAGAAAATACTACTGTTAATGATAGTGGAATAAAAAAAATAACACTTATTTTGATTAAAATATTTGTGATTTGAATGTATAAATAATATACTCACTTTTTTACTTTATCCGAGCAGTAAGTGCTTTATATTATTCTTAATTTCATGTATAATATAGTACATGTCATATCTGTGTAAGTTTATTTATTATTTATATATATTTATTTGTTTATATATGTAATTTTAGTATGTATGTATATCAATAATTACAAGTACCACATTTGAGTATTCTGACACTTCCCTATGGTTGTCTGGGAGGGAATGCTTTTAGCATTAAGTCTGCCATGTACACATATTTGTACTAATGAATAAATAAATAAATAAATAAATACTGCAAATAAATCAGTATAATCATCACAAAATATACTTGCCCCTTTAAATATTTGTTAAGTTTTTTAAGAGATAAACTCACCATTACTCACATTGTCATTTATATTTGCATAATTTTTTAAAATAATATGGATATATCAAGTCTTACATTTACCACAACAACAAGATTAAGAATTTACCTGATTAAGAATTTAATTTATGAGCACTTTTTTCATGAGTCTAGCTGTCACTTTCTGTTAAATGAGTTAAGACCAAATGTGTAAACCCATCACATAAAAAATGTCATGCCCCTTACTTCTATTATTTATTTATTACTTATTGTTATTATAATAATTATAATGAATATATTTTGACAGGGTAAACCAAATCTCCATGTTTACAAGTCAGCTACTGGTGAATGTGTAGGATCTTTTACCCAGAAAAATCAAGCTGGATGGTAAGTTTTCGTAATAATATGTATGAGTAATAATAATTTGAATTATATGTACTTACGAGGTTTGTCCGGAAATGTATAAAAGTTTTTTAAAAATTTTATTTTACAATTATTCAGGTAAATCAATTTTATCCCCTTCAAAGTACTCCCCCTGTGACATAATGCACTTATGCCAACGCCGTTTCCACTGTGAGAAGGCTCCTTGAAAGTCCTCTGGTTGTAGGTTTCTCAGCTGCCCCGTCGTAGCTTTTTTTATCTCATTTATGTCCCCCAAATGCCGCCCCCGAAGTACCAATTTGGTTTTGGGAACAAGAAGAAGTCACACGGGGCCAAATCCGGCGAATAGGGGGGTGTTTACCGTAATGGAATTTTTACTCAAAAATCACGGACAACAAGAGAGGTGTGGGCAGGGGCATTGTCGTGGTGACACGCCCCTCTCGCGCCAATTCTGGACGAACTCGTGCCAACGAGCTTTGAGGCTCCGACGTGAATTTTCCATCAACTGTGGCCTGGAGGGACGCTTGATGGACAATCCCCCGAACATCGGCCCTCTCTGAATCTTTTTAGCCACTTGTGGACGGTTGGATCCTTCACAGCATCATTACTGTTCTGAGAGCAAAAAAAATTCTTGCCGAGTTTCGAGAGAAACTTGATACGACGCGCTGCTCTTCAACGGAAGCGGGCTCCATGCCGACGGGGTTTCGTTAATAATCACAGATGGCGTGTATCAGACCAGAACTAATAATAATTTGAATTATACGAACTTTCCGGACAGACCTTACATAATCAAATTTTCTGTCATTTATTGTTAACTTAATTATCATAAATAAATTAATTTTTTTTTTATTATCAGATTGAATGTTGAGTTATATCATTAGCAGTAGTAGTAGTTTAACTATGGCTCACTACATATTTTGGGGAACTAAGTGAAGTGAGCAATGTATTCTTAAATAAATAAACAACTTAAAGATATGTCTATTTTAACCATATGTTATTGCATCAGTAAATGATGATAAATAAATATTGTATTACATTTGTAAAGTGTTAGTTTATGTCGGGAACTGCCAATTTAAGAAACAAACTTTTCAGTTGACAAGTTCTGGATTATAACTCTAATTATTTGTTGCTTAGTTCCTCTTAACACATAGTATCCTAGCTTGAGGACATAGTAATTAGTGCGATTATATAGCACTTACACTATGGTATTGTTTCAAAACTTAAGCTTAATTTTAATCTGTAATTATTTTAGGGAGCCACAGTGGTCATCAGATGAGAAACTGTTTAGCATTCAGATGACAAATAGGATACTCTTTTATGAAGATGGCAAATTTGACCGCTATGTGCAACACCTGCAAGCTGACAAACTCAAGTCATTCAGCTTGTCACCTAGTCCAGGACTCTCATACTATTTGGCCATTTTTACATTAGGTAAAATAAAATTATTTAAAACATCAGTATTGATTAATTTTGGGGGCAAAATGATAAAGATTTTGCATTTTTTTAATTGGAAATAACTAGCAATCTGACCCGATAAATTAATAAGTTACCAACATAATTCATATTTGTAATTTATACTACTAAGAATGCCTTGTTAGTCTGTATAGCTGGCTAACTAAAGTAGACTGAACTTGATAAACTAAAATATTCCTATTTTGATTTAAAATTTTATCATAAATTGATTCATATTTGCAAATTATATAACTGTTAATTTTCCATAATAATATGTAAAATGGGTTTTTTTTTTTAATTATTAAAGTTAAATGAAATATGAATTCCTAGTAACTTAAAACTGGGTAACCTCCTATTTTGCGAATTTTTATTGTTGCAATACAATATAATTCCACTGTTTACTGGACTAATAATTGTGTAAATATATTTAAATGAATATATTACCAACTATAATTGGCATTGCAGATGTCCATACACCATAGTCACAATTCACTATCAATCAATTAATTTAGTACTCAGCAGTATATATTATATTTATCCACAGGGAAGCAAGGCCAACCTTCAGCGTGGCGCGTGCTAAAATACCCGCAATTGGACATAATGCAGTCAGTCGTAAGCCGCTCGACCTTCCAGGCTGACAAAGCTACTTTCTACTGGAATAGACGAGGCACTAACGTCTTTGCGATGACACAGACTGATGTAAATATTTTTTATACCTTACTACAATATAATGATGTCCTACATGTGATGCCATTCCTGAGCAATAAACTTTTTTAACAGCAGCTTTGTAGTAGGCATTATTATTAATTTTTCTCTCATTATTTTTATTACCTGATTACAAGGCGATATTGAAGTCATTAGCATTCTTCTGAAGAAGAGTTATATACAATTAAACATTTTTTTATAAAACATGTGGACAAAGTGAGGAAAAGTTGATATTATAATAATTTCGCTTTTATCCATAATATTAAAGTTGTAATACTATGTAATACCAATGATACGTATGTATATAGTTGTTATAAATACTATTTCTTTATAGGTGGACAAAACTGGAGGTTCTTATTATGGGAAACAGTCATTATCATTCGGTGACGTAAAAGGAAATGCTGGCAATGTGACATTTAGTAAGTTTTAGGTACTTATTTACACTAAATAGAAGTATAATTGGCACTTATAACAGTAAAATGTAATTAGAAAATAATCATTAAATTTATAAACCAAATACGTTCCGAAGTGTGTGTGTATGTGTATATATATATATATATATATATATGTATATATATATATATACATACATACATACATGGTTAAGTGGTTACCAAGACTTGTGTTATTTTTTTGTAATTTTCTCAACATATCATCATAGTCGTAGAATACTGATGGATCTTTATATGTATTTATTTGTCAGATCCGTCAGTATTCTACGACTATGACGATATATAATTAAAATAGAATCAAACACACCATCATGACAGCATTTTGTCTATTTTCACTAAAAGTTTAACCATACAAAGAAGATTAAATTTGAAATATCAGTTAAACTCATAGCTCTTATATAATATTTTTTCAAAAGTATTTCTTTACTTACTTTTTTTTATTCTTTTGAAAACTTAAGCAACACAATATGGCAAAAAATAATTTGTATTTTTGTTGATGTATTTTGCAGGTAAAGAAGGCCCCATTCACGCAATAGCTTGGAACCCTGGAAATTCTAACGAGTGGGTAGCAGTGTACGGCCACGCGCCGGCCAAAGCGACGCTGTTCAACGCAAAGTGTGATCCTCTGTATGAGTTTGGCACTGGAGCATGGAACGCTGTTTACTTTCCACCAGAAGGAAATTATATCCTTTTAATATACGCTATTATATTTATTGTTTTATATTTTTAATGGATGGTAATGAAATGGCAACCCGCCTGCGCTGTCGGTATACTTTTTTTTAAACAAACATGGAATGAAACGACAAAAAAATGTTAAGCCACTTATACGAACTCGACAGCTAGACAAATTGTGATAGTATATGGATTAAGGGAGTTAAGGAAGCGCCCTTAAAAATATCCTTATAATTTAAATTTCATCTATATATATATTAACTATCTATACTTAAAACTGACATGGTCACTCGTGTGATATTATTTAAATCCTTAACTCCGACGCACATATGCTATTAGGCGGGTTTGGGAACATAGCAACTGGTCACATTGAGGTGTGGAACATGCAGGGCTACAAGAAACTAGGCTCGTGCGCCGCGCCCGACACTACCAGCCTACAGTGGGACCCGCGCGGCGAGACCTTTTTCACCGCTACAACTTACCCCCGGCTCACTGTCGGCAACGGGTATGTTTTCTTTTAGTTAGAGGTGTATTTGTTCAGGTATCCTGTCCTCGCTGTTAATACTGGTGACGGGATGCCTTCTATATATGATATATAAATATAATATGTATAAATAAATATATATAAGAACAATGCAAGTTATGTGGCATAGAAAAAGTAAGACGGCATAAGAACAATGGATATGTTGTTCACCACTGTGCTTTTTTTATGGGTGAAAATAGTATGGTAGCCCTGCCTGCGTAATCGATATATGCTGGCGGTGTACCAGTGAAGGATGGTAAATGAAGATGAAAGCAGATCAATTGGCGCATCGTGATGAATTCAACAAGAATTAACCACGATGGTTTCCAGAAAGAATTGCGTGGATATCTACCTAAAAGGATTCCCTTTTTTTAAAAGGATTCCCTTTTTTTAAAAGGATTTCTTTTCCCCCAGTTCATTTGACCAGTACTAATAAGTATCAAGTTTTAATTTAGGATTAGACGTGTGTACCGGCGTTAAAACCTTCGGCTACAGAGTAGTGTTAAAAATTGGTCGACGTTGCTCAATGGCGGGGAGAACGTGTCACAAAATGAAATTACTTGTCTGAAGAAAATAAGAAAAAAGAATGGCCGAGGCAAGGAATTGGTGGATACAAATGACTCGGGACCATTCTTTATGGCAGTCTGTGGGGAAGGCCTATGTTTAGCAGTGGACAAATAACGGCAGATATAATGAATGGCTGGGATAATTTTGAGGAAGACATAATGATTCTTTTTTATTTTACTCTTTAATTATAACGAATTTTTTTTTAAGTATATTAAGGTTATTGATTTTTAGGTACAAAATTTGGCACTACACCGGTGTTCTTATGCACAAACGCGTTTGCCAAGAAAAAGAGAACTTACTGGCAATCTCGTGGCGGCCAGGGAATTACCCAAAAAGTGAGTTGTCCAGGACCGCCCCTAAAGGTATCGAGGACACTACGCCGAAGCCAGTTGGAGCGTATCGTCCGCCAGGCGCGAGAAATAAGCCTTCCACTTTCACATTACATGAACATGAGAAACCACATCGTCCCGGCGAAACTGCTAATGGTAAGTTCATCTACATTGTTTATCTGAACATTTTGACCTCTTGTATCCCACAGGCATAGGTGTCTTTAAATAGGGTAAGATGAGCCATGCCCACCTAAGAATGTTACCCCAGGATAAAAGTAAAGAGTACATTATACAACTTCCTATGGCAGAGGCGTGTATTTTTTTTATGGGTAAAAATGGTATGGTAACCCCGCCCTGCGCTAACGGGATACGCTAGTGGAGCATCAGTGAAGAAGGGTGATCGATAAGAATGAAAACAGGTCAGTTAGCCCATCATGATGAATTCACCAGGAATTAACCATGATAGTTTCCAGGGAGAACCGCGAGTAGGTCGACCTGGTTGGGTATATTGCTAGCAATGGGATTCTCAGTCTCCATTACTAACAATCCCTTTCCCCCCAGAGGCGTGTATTCAGCAATATGCAGTTAAGGGCTGATATAATAATAATTATTTTATTACAGCAGGACCGTCTAAACAAGCTATTAAACAAAGGGAGAAGCGTGAGGCGCGAAAAGCTCGTAAAGCTGAAGAACGCGCCACCGGCGACCCCCCACCACCTCAGCCCCCCTCTACGCCACGACCTGCCTTTGTCTCTACCGGGGACCCAGAAAAGGACAAGAAAATAAAAAATATTAACAAGGTATATTTAATTGTACAGTTGAAAGTATGTCTTTAACACACAAATATATTTATCTTATACTAATTGTATGCGAATTCCGGATATATAGTCTATCTATGTATGAAATTGCATTTAAATGCAAACAACCAGATATCTTTAGATTTATTTTATATTTGACTATTTTAACTACTCTATAATCACTCATCTCATTTCAACATTAATTTATAAATTTGCTTTATTTATTTCATTAGTTTCAAAGATACCGAATTTAAACAAAACCCTGAGTAGACCAAGTTACCTTTAAATTTTTTGTCTGTTATTTGTCTTGTACTATAACTTGTAGAACAAATTCTTAGTTTGACGCTGTGTATGTGTGTATGTATATGTTCAGTGGTATATATTTGTAATTCAATAATTTCAGAAACTGAGTGATATAGACAAGTTAAAACAACAGAAGGCTGCTGGCAAGCAGTTGGAGCTGAACCAGCTTGCCAAGATAGAAAATGAACAAGCTTTGCAACAGGAACTAGATCTGTTGAGATTATGATCTCCCAAGCTCAACGGCCGTATAACATTGTTACAAATCCATATATCATTATTAAACATTTCTTTGTCATTTCTATAACTCTATGATTATTTGTAAGTGCCTCTTTTTTTGTTAATAAGCTATATTTATAAGCTACAAATACTTACCTTTAATTTTAGTTGCTCTTTTTTTTTTCTTGTTACTTAAACTCACGATATTATTGATTGTTCACGCCATGATGAATGGTTTATTATGTATAATGTTATCAGAGTATACTGCACCAATCGCAACATATGAAATGAGAGTACGGCCATTATTAAAACTGTTATACTAAGTATAACTGAATATATTTTTTATACTTACATAATTGCTGAAGGTCCTATTTATAAGGTATAAAAAAATATAAAATCACTATACAGAACACATACCATGTATTCTTTGATATCTAAAGTACGCTAGGTACATATTGCTACTAAATATAATGCGCTAAAGTGGTGAATATCGATTGTTATCAAGTTATCTATAAGACATTTTATGTTTTCACAATAATTTTCAGTTTTTTATTATTCAAATTCGTTGTATGTACATCAATGTTAAAAAAAGAAAAAAGACAGGTACATTGATATATTTTTCTGCATTTTTCATATTCTTGACTCTACCTTCTTTCAGAGATTCTCTGTGATTTCCCTAGAAATCATTATCATCCTTTCAAGAGATTATTCTATGACTGAAACTGTAGATTTTTTCCAGAAAAAAAAAACATTTGTTGGAAATCAACAAAAAAAATGTAAGCCATTAAACTTGACAGATAAACACACCGTGTAATAGGATGCTCAAAATAAACATTGGGACCGATTCTGAGATGATATTTCTCTAAACCTATTTCTTAACCTAACATTATAATTTGCTATGGACTATAATAAATTAATTCTTGTAATAATTTAGACGTAAATATATTAAAAAAATATTTCATATTGATCCTTACAATAAAGATTTCCCTGTGATATCAAATTGAAATTTTAATTTTAGCCATAAATTTAAAACATGGCGCCTCCAAATCGATCCCATTGTCCTGTTAATAAAACAATTATAAATCAATTTAAAGAATATCTTAACAAGACAAAAATACTTATGAAATTGATACCCATTTAAAGTTATGTAAGTGAAAATATAAAGTTATCTTATGACTTTATATAAGCGTGACTGAAAATATAAGGAGTGCATTAATCATAACTATATATAAATAATCAAGCATAATAAGATTGATTGATCAGGTTTTCTTAATTTTTCGTATATTTTTTTACAGTGTCTGTTGAATAATTTCTAAAGTATAAAATGTGTTAAATAAAGTATTAGTACAATTGTATTTTATTTTTAATTACAATACCTACTGTATTAGGAAGTTACCAAGTTGTTTGCAACTATTTAATTATGTTCTCTTCTGCTAATTCTGAATCAATATTTTTTTTTAAAAAAGATTTACTCCCATGTTAGCCCAATAAATTCCATGATAATTTCGCCGACATTGAAGTTGGATTGTTGCAGAACAAAATCTTGAATTTCGATAGGAAAGCGTTACAGCAATACAAGGACGTCACAGATTCTATAAAATGTATCAGAGCTATTGACGACGGTAATATACAATTTTCTATTTGGTCCGCTCTTAGCATCTACCATTCTAAGTCATATAAATACATTATTTCGAAATTAACGACTCGCCATTAATTAACCCATCAAGTTATTAAAACTATATGAGTACATTGTAAATATCAAATCCATCAGCAGATTTTTATTAGTGCACGCGTGAAAAGGAACAAGACGCCGCATGTCGCTCTTATTCGTCTCATGCAAACAGAAGTTATAACGTTGCTTTCATTGCCATTTATTTAATAGATTTACTCTCTATGGCAGTTGACTATTTCAGCTGTTTTAGTAAAGTTCGCCGTATGGTCCCGGCACAGAATGAGTCACCCCCTTCCTTTCCCGTGGATAACGTAAAAAGCAACTAAATGAACTTAACGGTCGAGAGATAGGCAGCAGCGTCCCTCTTACAACATCACCAAAGCGGTGCAAGAGATTGTTAGTAATGAGATCTAACAGTCCCATTGCTAGCGATATACCCTATCAGGTCCACCTCCAAGTGTGTTGAAGATTACAAACCTTTGATAGCCATATATTATTTTTATATTATCAGTCACTGTTCTTCTTTTGTTTTTCATTGCATAATTTCTATCTAAATATACGAAAGCTATTTACTATTATAAGACAATTATTTATTTATTATTTACCATAGAACTGAGAATGTCATTATACTCCCCAACAAAGTGATTTCCCCCGGAAACCATCGTGGTTAATTCTTGTGGAATTTATCATGATGCTACTGACCTACTTTCATCCTAATCTGTCATCTATCACTGGTGCCCCGCCAACGTATACCGATAGCGCAGGCAGGGTTATTCCATTATCATCTATAAAAAAAAATAAAGCCTAACGCGGTTATCAATCCGCCTACCAAGCATGACTACTGGCTAAACCCCTAAATATGGGAAAGGTCTATGTTCAGCAAGGACAGTTTTTTTTTAATAGATGATAATGGAATAGTAACCCCGTCTGAGCTAACGGTACTTCACTGGGGGGAAAGGGATTGTTAGTAATGGAGACTAAGAATCCCATTGCTAGCAATATATCCAACCAGGTCGACCTCCATGCGGTTCCCCCTGGAAACTATCATGATTATCTTTGCACCCTTCACTGGTGTCCCGCCAGCGTATCCCGCTAGCACAGGCGGGGTTACCATTCCATTTTCACACATAAAAAAAAAACGGTATACACTGACGGTGCACCAGTACAGAATGATAAGTGAGGATGAAAGCAGCCTGGAATTTAGCACGATGGTTTAGCAATAGACAATTAACGACCGATATGACGATGATAATGAGTGAAACCTAGTGTATTTTGACTTGTACATAATTTTTTACGCAACTTAAAATGGCAAACGAATTGACGAAATAAAAAATAGTAATCGTCACCTAAATAAAAAAAAAACGATTTTCACTGGGAACCTTTTTACCTACATACATACGAGTACATTAAACAATAAATTTAATTAGAAATTGATCAAATACAAATTCTAAGTTGGACAACATAATTTATTACTTTACCTACAGGTATCACCTAATATTTTTCTTATCATGTAGGTAGATAAACAAAAAAATACACCATACCAGCTCGTATCGACACCAAAACCGATCGCGTACCGATCAGTACATATAATAACATGCCCTCCATCCACGGAGCTTTATTTACATCCGATAAGATAACGATAAATTAAATTGATTGTGGTGTTCGCTGCAAGTAAAACAGTCGGTAATCTGGAGCCTGGTGTATTGACACGACGATAGCGCCTCGATTTGTTTACGATCGGCTATTATTACACATCGTACTCTGGTGAATTCCATATTCCGTGATTGACCCACGCAGGAGCAACTGCGTGAACTATTGTGCAATTATGGACAAAGACTGTGAGGATACTGATGAGAAAACTCCATTATTGGGTAGTGGAACTCAAAAGACTAGTTGTTCGAGTAGTGACGCTTTTAATGATAGTAACAGTAATAAGACAGAATCCTTCGAAATTGTATTTGATAGTAAAATGATAAAGTCGTCGACTCGAGCAGAAGAGTTAGCCGCCACGTGGGGAGGGAGACGGTCGCTGGTCGATTCTGGGGGTTTGCGTCGGGCCCACTCGTGGTCTGGTGGACCTCCAGATGATATTAGTTCGGAGATTAGAATTTTAAGAGAAAGGTAAGTCTTTAAGACTATATTATTCGTCAATAATAAGTAACAATGAGCAAACCGAACACAAAAGTGTCGCAGGCCGTCTTTTAACAGAAGTCTACCTTCTTGTGACCATTCATGAAGGTCCATTTAGCAGCAGGTAATATATTAAATAAATAGTTGTGAACAATAGAAACTAATGTAAACATTCATAATAAAGTCGTGAGTTACTTTCCGTAAATGAGATATTGAGTTCAGTTCCATGTAACCTGTAAAATTATTAACTTTTAGACTTTCGCGCTGCATGTTTTTGATTTTTTTTTTTGATGAAAATGGTACGGCTGCGCTAAAACTGGCGAAGCATTAAGGGTGATAGATATATATAATATTGCCCATCATGATGAATTCATCAGGAATTAACATGAATATGGACCTGGTTGGTATATTGTTAGCAATGGGATTCTCAGTCTCCATTACTAACAATCCCTTTCCCCCATGTTTTATGATTAGAAACGGGAATTAACATTATATATAATATTGTATGTCGAACAATATGGATGGATGGAATTGTGAATTCAACGCAGCAGGACTTCCTGTTGTCACACGGATAACGATATTTTCCAATCTGAGTTCAATCCTGCTATCCTACTAGAACAATGAATAAAAATGTATGTCTGTTAGGTATGCAATTAGCTTTAAACAATTAACGGAATTAAATAAAATTTTGTAGATAGATAGAAAATATTCTAAATTATGAATGAATTAGTATACTTTATTTGTATTACACAATATAGGGAATAAGCAAGATAATTAATAAATGTAATGATACAGTTGTATTAGTAACAATAGATAGATATAATAGAGTACTAGGTATATAATTTAATTCACTGAGACAAAGCCTCGGGGTATATATGTAGCTAGTAATCTAAATATAATATAAAAAATATTTTTAAAAGGTCGGCAATACATTAATATTTTCTTTTATTTTACTAAAGTATAAACTTTAGATATAAATCTCACGAGTGTTTAATAGATAGTCTACCAGACACAATTTTTACATAACTATGGATTTTTTTTACTGACCCTTAATAGATCAGACAGAATAGATTAGTTTCTAAATTATACATGATAATTTATTTTTTATTTTTTGCCAAACATACTAAGACAAAAAATTACGTATTTGTGATTACGTACTACGGTATTACTCGTATTATTAATTACAATATCTCTTAACTATACCTAGTTGTAATAAATTATCTATTAGATATCTATAAAAGTGATAACAAGTGTTTCGGTTAATGTAAGTACACTTGTCTATATTTATTCACAACTATGGAAAAGATATATAAATGAAATATGAAATACCTAGACACATACAGGTGGGCAGACGCCTTCAAATAACGACATAGGAATACTGTGCAGGTCAATGAAAGTTTACGTTTTCGCCAGACTGAAATAAAAAAAAATTAAAACTAAATTTATTTTTTTCTTCGATTGTAGCAAAATATACATATAACTAGCAGAAGCACTCCTGACATCTATTCGTATTCATCACTGTAACCCACCGTTTCTAAAAAAAAATACATTGCGTTTGCGATATATAGTTAGGTACATTGTTAAAAAAGGATTTCATGTGGACTACCAGTACCATTGCTAGCAATATACTCTGTCAGGTCGACTTCCAAGTGGTCCTCCCTGGAAACCATCGTGCTGAATTCCAGGTGTATTCAGTATGATGGGCTAACTGACCTACCCTTTCATTCTCACCTACTATCCTTCACTGTTGCCCCACCAGCGTGTACCGTCAGCGTAGGCGGGTTACTGTTCCATTAAAAAATTACAAGCAAACCATATATAAAACTGTATCTAAAAACGTTATGATAGAACAAATTTACATGAAATTATTTTTTTACAGACTGGTCCGTACACAGAGGAGATTACAACCAACTGCAGTGTGTTTACTGTCCCAAAGGCAGCGCCTTACACTTATTTCCCTTGCCCTTGTTGACTTCATGAGCTTCTGCTCTATGAGCATTATGGCGCCATTCTTCCCACGTGAAGCCACTGCCAAAGGTGTCTCCGACACCATGTGTGGGATAGTGTTCAGTTTCTACGCCGTAGTAATGTTCATCACATCACCCGTTTTTGGCAAATTTGTAAGTATAGCCTATTTCAAAATATGATACAAATAATTATCTACATTTATAAATATAACAATCCTGTAACTTCATCGTTTCTTTTTCAGCTGCCACAAGTGGGAGTCAAATTTTTGTTTATCACAGGCATGTTTGTGGCGGGTACCTGCAATATAATGTTTGGGTAAGACATATTTCAATTACCATGAGTGTAAATTTTATCGAAAAACACGATTCGAGTTAATTAATTATAATAAGTTTTATTAAAATTATGGTACTTCTAAATTATGGAAGCACCCCTAATTTTTTAGATTTTTACAATATTTTCTTTCGTATAGCTGTTAATATACAAAAAAGTACCTGATTTTAAAATTAACTAAAAAATCTCATACCTGAAAACATCCAAAGCGATATCTTACAGTAGAGGTTTTATTAAATTCATCTTAATTGTGAGAATATTATGGGCTGTGTGATCACAATATAAAATTTAAATACTAACTAAAAATATTAAAATACTAAATAAAATAAAAACCTCTACAATTTTTGAATGATGCAATGACGAATAAGCTGACAGCCCATCTGACAGAAAACTATTGCCTATAGATACAAACGATAAAATACGCATCACAGAATATACTGTGATGCCAATGGTACCCCTCATTAAATCAATTACAGAACCCTTGCGTTAGTCGAGGATAAGACGACATTCACAGCATTATGCTTCGTGGTGCGCGGAATGGAAGCGCTAGGGGCGAGCGCGTACTCGACGGCCAGCTACGTGTTTGTAGTGAACGCGTTCCCTGACAGCATCGGCTCCGTCCTCGGCATACTAGAGACATTTGTTGGCCTTGGCATGTCTGTGGGGCCGGCCATTGGTGGGCTATTGTACTCGGTATGAACATCAACTACTTATATAATATTTTGACTTGTTTTTACAAAAGCAACTTTTAATTTCTAAAATTTTTAAATTTATTAGGATTTAGCCAGAAGCCGTTGTCTAAAAAGTATTCTCAAAAATCTTTTATTAAATAATAATTATATAAATCACATATGAACGTCCAAAATTTTAAGATTCTTTATTGAACATAGACTATATAATTTACAGTAAAAAAACGCTGATATTTAGTTTCATATATAAATATGAAGTATAAAAGCTACATTCTATTATATATTTTGTGATAAAAAGAACTGGATTTTAAAGCTATAATCTATAACTTAGATGTTTATTAGCCATAACCATAAACATTATGTGCACACTTAATTTCACTTAAATTCATACACTTGCCAAAAATATTTTTAACATACCATACTTAATTAAATTATGTTAATGTTCCAGGTAGATCGGGGGCTTCGGTCTTCCGTTTTACAGCCTTGGAATCCTAATGGTGTTCACTGTTCCCATCAACTACTTCTTGCTTACTGATTGCGAAGGTAATAATAAATATATGAACAATCTCATAGACATCACAGAATATGCTATGGTGTCTATGATAAATTAATGCATGTATAATACAAGATGTTTCTACCTAAAACTATTATATTTAAAACTAATAATATCCCCAAATGAAACGTTATAAATACTATATTAGAAATAAAATTATTTATAACAACTTGACATTAGCACTGCCTATGTATGGAAAAAACTTTTTAATTTCAAGGAGCACAACATAGAAATAAATAGACTTAAAAGCAATCTAACGATATTGGTTGGTGAAAAAGAAAATATATCTCTCGCAGATATAAATATCAAATACTTACGTATATTTTAAGTTTTCAGTTTTTAATATTTGAAAAATCAAGTTTGATGAACATCGATTTAACAAGAATATTTTGTTCACAGAATACGTTTCTGGATCCAAAAGTACATCAATACTGCGTCTTGTCAAGATCCCATCGATTATAATCACAGCTCTAGTTATCGTCGTCGTATCCAATACCTGGGCATTCCTCGATCCTACTTTAGAGCCACATTTGCGTCAATTCAATTTATCCACGGAACAGATTGGTTTAATATTTCTGTTATTTTCTAGTTTATACGGAATATTTAGTCCGATCTGGGGATGGGTTGCTGATAGGTGAGCTACATTGATAGCTTTTATGATTATGCTTTTTTTACAATTTACCCAATAATCTACTGCTGAACATAGACCTCCCCATAAGTGGACTAAACGATTAATTTAATCATAGTTAATTACTTTATTACTATCTCTTTGCACGTTACTTTTAATTTCAGCAGTAGAAAAGCCTAGTAAATGGACCATTTCTGATGGCACATCAAGATTTATTGTTTTGATATCTCATTGGTCTTATTGTGGCCCCTCACATATTTTTTTCTTAAATATCTCCCATTTTTAGATATATTTTAGATATACCTGGTTACCATTTTATTATATTAGTAAAATTATTATTAAACTAAAAACTGCGTTGATGAGAGGGATCATTTCAATATCCACCGCTTCATTAGATACCATTATAAATATTTGATCGGTTCATCCTTAGATTATATGGATAAACGGTATGGATAATCTAAAAGAGTGGGCGTTATATATAAATTTCTGAAAATAAATTAGATAAAATTTGAAGAAAGAATCCCTGAGAAACAAGTTGATTACATAAATTAATGGGCCTGAATATATCACTATGGTAATCTAATCCTAAACTAAGCAGACCTTGTAGGTACTAATAAATACCAAACACCCGATAAAAATACTTGAAATATATACACACTCATGATTAGAAATTGTTCTACTATATGAGGATCAAACCATCAACTATAAATACTAATAAAGTAACAAATGGTTTGTGGCATTTATAATTGAGATTATTAGATATCAATCTCCTTAGTCTCCTGCTTTAATAAACTTATCAAATTGTTATTAAGTACCTAAAATACCAAATAAATAAAAATGTAGTATCATATAACACATAGCAACATTTCTGTGAACTATGGTATGTTTTATGATGTTCATAGTGCAATTCATGTCTATGTATAGACGACGTATACTTTGTATCGTCAGCTTATTTTCCATTCTAAGTATTGATATATGAAAAAAATGTGATATTATATTTTATTTCAGGGTACATAATCATTGGTGTATGATGGTGTGGGGGCTGTTCTTGTCCACTATCGGACTACTTCTGCTTGGTCCATGTCCGTTTATTCCTGGCCTTCCACGGTATGATATAATTTATATAGAACATACATACATATCAGTCAGACGTATCTCCCATTAGAACAGGCAGAAACAGTGAAACGCCGAATGCTTCGAATCAAACAGACCTGTTTTTCTTCCTCCACATTTATTAATCTTTTCATACAAGCTCACCGGTTACAAGTACTTTTAATTTGACTCTTTTTCAGCACGTCGCCTATTAGGTCAAGATATGTCCATCTAGGGCGGGCTCTATTCGTGCTTGATAAATCTCACTCGTAAATCTTCTTTCATCCGGCTTCTTCAAATGATAGAACTAATGCAACATTCCTTTTTCGATCTTTTTACTACATCGTCTTTCAATCAACACTTCTCTAATCACACTATTTTTAAATCTATATTTCAATGTACACGTATAGAACATTTTAATATTAAGTATAATTCTAATATAAAGTTATTTTGTTTCAGAGATCTTTGGCTAGATCTGGTAGCATTATCCATATTAGGGATGTCTGTAGCACTCACTCTATTGCCAACGTTTCAAGGAGTATTAACTAGTTCAATGTATGTTTAAAACTTTATAATTATATATTTATATTATCGAGTACGTTATATCCAAACAAAGCATAACATTATTACAGTTAAGTGGCACCATTGTAGTGCTTTTATTTTTTTTTTTTGTTTTTTTTTTTTATTTTTATTTTTAAAATATTTTTGTATTTTTTTATTACTAAACATTTATCTTTCTTTCTGTAAAAAACATAACGTCAAAATATTACCATAAAATCAATTATATATATATATATATATATATATATATATATATATATATATATATATATATATATATATATATATATATATATACGTTACGATTTATTTTTATGTAAAAGCTACGAAGGTGGTTGCCCTGAAGCACTGGCGACGTACAGCGCCGTAGCTGGTTTATGGTCGTGCTGTTACTCCTTGGGCGAGGTGCTGGGTCCAGCCGTTGGTGGTGTACTCACCCAGTACTACGGATTCCCTCTCTCTTCAACTCTATGTGCTGCAGCTTGCTTCACCATGGTTTGTTAATTATACTTATAATTACTTCTATAGTTTCGGTACAAAAGAACACAGCTATTAACCTTTGTTCAAATTGTGCTATTGTCAAACAATATTGTTTGAAACTATTGGATATAAAGGTATAAGACCTTAATCTTCGGGAATAACAATGCATCGGGGTACTATTTATACATAAGGGGTACTATTTGAGCATTATAATGGTCATGGGTCATGGGTCATGGATTTTTTTTAATGGGTGAAAATGGAATGGTAACCCATGCCTGCGCTATCGGTATACGCTGGCGGGGCACCAGTGAGAGGTGATAGGTGAAAGTGAAAGCAGGTCAGTTAGCCCATCGTGAGAATTAACTACGATGGTTTCCAAGGTTATAAATTTCCTAAAGGAAGTGACATACTTCAGTAAATTTTTCGATCTCTTTTATAACAACGTTATTAAATTATTAAAATACTGGGTCATATGATTGTGTCTACATTATGTTGTCATTTACAAATTAAGTGAACCATCGCTATACAATCTATTATTTATCCATTAATTTTAATAATTGAAATTTTTCTAAACCTCTTCAGAGTGGAGCAAGCAGACAGTTTTAATTTGTTATTTATACGTAACTAGTTATTACTCATGATATCATGACCAGGTTGCCGGAGTATGTTTATACACTAGGATAAAAGTAGTCTATGTTTTTTTTCTATTCCAAATAGCACCATTGTAAATCGAATTTCATAATAATTGATTAGCGTTAAGGTACCAAGATGTAACAAACAAACTCATTTTTACATTTAAATATCAGTAGAGATGTATTAAAAAAAATCTCATATATTAAAAAAAAATATTTCAATGCATCAGTAATTGCAATCAGTACACAAGGTATCCTATATGCTAAGATAAAACTACCCGTGTACCAAATTTCATTCAAATCTGTTTAGTAGTTTTTACATGAAAGAACACAAACATTCATCCATCCGAGTCTTTACGAACTTTCGCATTTATTATATAATAAAATTATTAATTAATATTTATATCTCTTATAAGGCGGTAGTCACACTCGCTTTTTTTACGCTACGAGAGTCTTCTAAATCGGTTGAAGTCACGGAATCTGTATCCGACTCGATCCCGTATACTGACACCACATGGAATAGCAACTTCTGTCGCACGCGTAGTGCACCCAACACTCGACTGACTGAAAACTCCCCGCTGCTCACACCCTGCTCGTGTCTCTCGAGGAATGGTAAGTGTCTACATAAATATAGAATGTATATACCCACCATGACCTGGTATTATGTATAGATATAGTGCTCTTTCACGCTGTTAAATTCCAAGTAAAAGTAAAGCATTCAATGTTTTACCCTTTGACATTACATCTGCCACAAGTAAATTAGCATTCAAGCATAACTACATTCTTTTTATTTAGAATCTATTGATATTATATATATATATATATATATATATATTTATTTATTTATTTATTTATATATCAATTAAATTTTCAGTTATTCCTGTCGACACTCCACTAGTAAATAACCCCATATGGTGTTAAATCCACCATTTACACTTTTACAAATAAATAACGGTTGTCTTGAAAAGATTGCTCTCAGCAATAAGATCGCCTTACTGTATTTATACAATTGTATCGTTATATTTATTGTCTTGCTTATTTCCTATACTGTATAATATAAGTAAAGTTTTCCATCATTCATTATTAAAATAATGTGGATTTTTATGATAGAATAGTAATCCTACCTGCGCTATTGATTTACGCTAGCGAGTACCACATACGAATTTACTATCAAATAATTACGAATGATTTCTAGGGGAATCGCGTAGAGATTTATCCGATACCTGCTAACAACTAGTCCCCATTACTAAAAATTCCCTTTACGGGTTTTTTAAAAGATAAAAAATGAATAGTTAATCAGTCTGCGCTGTTGGTATGTGCTGGCAGAGCACCAGTGCGAGATGAAGGATAAGGATGGATTCAAATTAGTTGCCCCATCACCAGGAATGTGTAGAACATAATGTGTTCGTCAACCATTTTTCTCATATAAGTAAACACATACTATTTATTTTTCTTCTTGTTACAGATACATCGTACGGCAATTCACCGCCACGACACTTTTGTCTATTGCACAACAAGAGCAACAAAAGTGGTTCTGCGAGTATATCAGATGTTCTCGCGTACTTCCTCAAATTTCAGTGCCTAACTAATATTTACGTAAAAATGTCGAGAACTTGCAAAAAATCACAACGAGACACTACTCGCAACAATGAACTTTACCAAAATTACCTCGTCGATGAGGATATAAACGCAGAAGAAAACATCTCTAATTTAAACAATAACACTATAAAATGCAGACAAGATGATGAGAATACATATTTCATGTATTTAGAGAAGGCCATATTTGGTAGTACAGTTGTAATGGAGAATATGAACCATTTAGTGATTAAAAGAAACAACAAAGGCTTAGTACCGAAGTTGATGACGTGTGATAACGAAAAGAATCCGTCGAATGAGATCATAAAGCATAATTTAGAGAAAATACAGTTTTATGAACAAAATCAAGCATGCTCGTCGATTGATTATGTTTTTGTAAGATATGAATTTTAATTCAGTATGCTTCTATAGATTTAATATTTTTAAACAATATCTATCATCTTCTAGGATAATTTTCCGAAATATTATTTCGAAACACAGTCTAGTGCATTATTTCCCGGCATTCAATTTATCATGTTGTGAATTGCTTGTGTGAAGACCAAATATATTAATAATAATATATAATATTTATTTACAACAACAAAGTAATGTAGCTGATATATGTATAATATTTATTATAACATAGAATGGCAAACGACCCACGTGATAGAAAGTGCAAACCGTAGCCTACATATAGAGATGCACTCGTATTTTTTTTTTTTTCAAAACATATTCCGGGTGAAGTTAGAAGTTATTTAATTAATATTTAATATTTCTATGATGTTGCTCATGGTAAAAAATTTTCAGGATGGTTGTGAATGCAGAGATGACGCAACATACGTTCGAGGTACCGTCACAGTCTCTTCTACAGGCGCCTGCGAAGTATAACATTTCGAAATAAATACTATAAGTAAATACTTTAAATATTATTATATTTAAATATAGTAAATACTTTAAAATATTAATTTATATTTCTCAACGTTTTTTAAATCTTAGTATCCTACTTTTAATATACTCAATTTGCTATTAAAAGTATTAAAAGAGAAAAAATGTATTTTACATTTTAAAGTCTCCTTGCTACATTTCTGTAACAAGCCCCTGGGAATTTGAGAATAGCAAAAATATTTCACGAATCGCGCATTGTACTAAGGATACAGAAGAAGGGGGAGTTAACGTTTGGGGTGATAGAATATATCACCCCATCCCTATTCCATTATACACCCTCGGGAACATAGCGGCTCTTATTATTCTTGCTACCCTAGTAAAATCGACCTCTGCTGACGATTTTGCGACTTTGTTGTGATGGAAATTTCGCAAATTATTCGCTGACCACTGTCCACTTAGGGATTAGTTCTTTTTCAAGTTTTGCTCTATCTTCAAGAACATTCTCAAACAAGCTGCGATTTTCTATGACCAATCACGGATATATTGATACTAGGAGAGTATAAAAAAAAGACGTCAAGTAGTAAATGTGTTTCATGACTCTTTTTTCTTCTATTTTTAATATCTTTTTAATACCACAGTATGACAGTAAGTACTATTCTACTACACATTTATCATTCAGTGTATATCTGGAAAAATTTAAAGACATAAATATTTCATGAATTTTGTATGTCCTTATTATAGTTATAATAAGTATCTAAATAATATAGTAATAATTTTAGTTTAATTTTCGCGGTTAACTTTTTATTAACGCGTTTTTACTACAATTAATTATTTATTTATGTTACAAGTTAATTTGCGTTTCACTTAATTTTATGTAACTAATGGCGTCGTATTTTTTATAAGGTTTCTCTGATTTCATCAACTCGAGAACAATAAAGAGAGCTACGATTGAAATTATTACTTCTTGTAATAACGATTTTATTTAAACGAAATGATAAGACCGAATGTTAATACAAACTCAGGCTTAAAAATTAATTTAATCTATCATATAAGACAAATAAAAGCACAGATAAGCGAAGCCAGCTTAGATCACTTTTACCAAAATGCCACGCGCATTTTTGCAAATTTACAACTACTACATACTAATTAAAATATTTATCGTTTTTGTAATTTTTCTTAAAAATATTTTTATATACCTACTTGGAGGAAATAACTTATAAATATTTTATAAAAAGATTTCAGTAGGACCACGAGAGATAGGATACTAATTCGAATTTAATCTATAAAGCGGAATACGAGGAAAGAAACTAGATAATGTACATTTGGTCAAATTGTCCATTGTACAAATTGTCGGTGGGTAAAAGATGAACCTGTAAGCTGTTACTGATATCATTGTATGTGTGGTATTATTTTTTTTAATATTTTGTTTTTATCTTTACACATTTAAATGTTAATATATATATACCAAATAGAAATATTGGTCAATATACACAAAATAAGTAATAACTATGTTTTGAAATACATACAAGTAATTTTTCAAAAAGCAACTTATTTTAATATTCTAATATTAAATATCATTAATAACATTAGAATATTTCGAAATAGTTAAATTAAAAAAAATCACATTGAACATTTTTTGGTTAAAATTACCTTTCTAAGGAACAACTTTAAATTATGCTAAAACACGAATTGGCGTTAACAATAATTTTTCTGTAAACAAAACTTTAAACTTTTATTAGCCGTATCTTTATGAACAAAATGTAGTTTTATTAAAGTAAATGAAGATTTAAACTGATATCAATTAAGTCACTGTAATAAGTATCAAATAATTGTTATAATGTCAAATGAATAAATGAGGTGAATAGTGCCTCTATTTATTAACCTGAAACAGTATTGTTTCCGAAAGTAAGTGAACACTTATTAGGTACTTATTATTCAAATCCTTCATTCACATTCATATAAACTCGCCAATATAAAATGGCGGCGAATATTGAATGGATACAGCGTTCTGACTACTAGGGTGACATACTACTGTTGAGGTAAAAATACTTTTTCCTTACAGACTCAAGCAACAAAATCCGTATGCCCTAATCCGAAACCTATTTACTAATAAAATGTAAGTTAAAGTATTCCAGAAACGCGAATCTTATATATATAATTCATAAAAATTATATTTTGTAACTTGATAATATTGATTCCATCCATTGTATCAATGGGCATCAGTCTACAAAATTATTATTTCTATTGTATATAAACACAGGACGAGGGAACTATGTAAATCAGGGAGGGTGAATGGCGACCCTCTGTGAGATAGAATAAGACAAGTATATTCGCATCCTTTTCTATACTCACAATTCTTTCCTGGAACTCTTGATAGCCTGGTAAACTCTACAGTTATGCAAAATAAGAATAACAGATATAAATACCCTAGACAGACTAAGTACCTACGAGTATTTTTTACCGAGAAAAACAAACAAAAAAATGTGGTATGAATCCTAAAACTTATATGTAGATTTGTGGTTCAAATTAAAAGAATTAAAAAAAATACAAGTTAGGAAACGTACTTTCTCCCGAGTGGTGTGTGCAGTAAATAAATATTGTGTACATCACATGATATGCAATGCATGCAATAGATCGAGATTCGCGAGAAATATTTTGGATGAAACGTTGTTTCCAAATTGTACGCTAGCTAACTTATATGACCGTAGCGAGGGATAACAACTGGTAATAAATATCTTTATTATCAACTTCCAATAATTATATAAGTAAGTACCTAATTTTACTAAGTAATTATAAAACATACTGACCCTATTTATATATATTAAAAACCATTGTCTATTAAATGTGCCATATAGGCCCGGCGTAGAATGGGCTACGCCTTTTCCGTGGGTGTCGTAAGAGGTGACTAAGGGAACTTAATAATCGAAAGATGGGCACCAGCGTCTCTCGTAAAACATCATCAAAAGACAAATTAATCCGCCTGCTAAGCGTGGTAGCTACTGGCTAAATTCCCCCAACTAAAGGAATGGTCGCGCTCCTTTGGCAATGGAGGAGGCTTGTGTTCAACAGTCAACAAATAACGACTGATATGATAATTCTCTATTAAGCAACCGTTAGATGGAGACTATGAAAAAAAGATTGATTTAGTGGTCTGCTATTGTATTATTAGGATTGCTATTAAGATATTATTTAGGTAAATATCCATTCGAAGACGGTCTCTTCCATCAGGTGTATCGTCAGCTTGTTTACTATTTCAAGCATTAATATTTTTTTTATTTAAATATGTTTGGCGCTTTAAGTAGATACTTACATAATAGTATTATCAGGAAATATGAAACTACGACAAACACATGGCTTCAAATGGGTATTTTGTCAGTAGAATATATACAGTATTCAGTTGCAATCATGAAACTGGTTATAATTTTGTGCGTTATTATTGTTCTTGTCAAATATAACGAAACAAAAAAAGAAAATAAAAGGAAATGTGAAGGCATTCATGTTAATGGCAAAAATCATAAAAGGGTAGTATTGAGTAATGGAATCAATCGTCCTTATCAACTATCCATTTCAAAGCCGAATCATACGATTTATTTTAGTTACAATACTGGATTTGATAATACTAGTACGTTCGAAATTGGTTATATTACAAAGAAACAGAAAGTAGTCAGAAAAATTTCGGCTGTTAAAAATGGTTTTGCCACTGCTATTAATGAGAAGGACAATATAGTGTACTTTGGAGGCAGTGATGGAATTTATATGGATGATATTTCCAAATCAGGTAATATACAGCATTTAATTAAAGGTCACAACATTTGGGACCTATTTTATAAAGACGGATTATATTTTATTAGTTACCCTACTTTAAAGTTGTATAAATATATGGGTGGTAATAAGTCCGAGATACAAAAGAATATTCACGAGAAAATATACCAGTTTGCAATAGATGGAGACGAAGATACATTTATAACCAATAAGACGGGACTGTATATAATAAAAAATGGAACGAACGAGCGCATACTCTATGAAGGAGCTAAAGTGTTCCGAGCTATCGAGATCAACAACAAGGGAGTAGCACATTTCTGCGGGCAGAACGAAATATATGTAGCAAACAAACATAAACATACGCTACACAAAATTGCTGATATAAAAGATATATTTGGTTTGGTATTTGATCATGAGGATAATATAATTTATTCAAATCCCCATGAAATTGTAAAATTACTGCCAGAAGAATGCAAATAAATTAATTAATGTTACCACTACTTTTATATTGCATACATGCGTTACTACATACTCGTACTAGTTTAATCTAAAACTTTTGTCATTATATTGTATTGCAGATTTTATTTTCCTCAAATCTCTTTAATTGTTAAGAGCTATTTTAGCCGCAAATTAATGCATGAAATATTTGTTTCTATAAATTTAATTACATTGTGTATAATATATTCGGAATTACATTGTGTATAAATTTTGAAATTATCATCTTGCTAAAATCTGTTATAATGGTTTTTGTATTACAATTAGTCATTTGTACAAAATAAATATAAGCAATTTAAATTATCTGCTTTAAATACTGGTAGCAGTACCTCATTTACAAATAAGTAGTGAGTAAGGGATGCTCTATATCCTAAAATTCCAATGTAGACAATATTGCTTTAATAAAATATTCTTTATTGATAAAACTTGAGTACAGAAATCCCGGATAGACCTAGATATAGATATATAGAATAGAATTAGATATAAGCGATGCCGTTAACTATAAATATATACACGCTGTATGACCTAATTCAGTTCGCATTTCCTGAATACCTGTTTACGTCAAGACGTTTTTTATTCATTGCAAATAAGCTGTCGGCCCACCTGATAGAACTGATAATTGTTGCCATCAATTCAACAGTAATGTGGTTTTTTGTAATAAACATTTTTTTTTATTTATATAGGTATATAGTTTAACGAGTATTTATAAAAAATAAATCTAATACATTATACCTAACACATATTTGCTATTAATATTAAGTTTTCTATTTATAAAATACCCTTTATATAAACTAAAAATAGGTAACTAAGGTTCGCCAGAGAAAGTTATGTAAATAAGTTTTCTCTATACCTATATGATATTACGTGTGGGTAGATACATAATAATCTATATATACTCGTACATAGATTCTACTATAGTCTAAAATCTACCAGAATATTAGTATAACCTACTTTGAATTCACGTGGGAAGCAAGGACGAGACTCGATTAAGTATCCTATTATTGTACGACAAGCTAATTCGACGCTTGGTATTTACTAATAACAGTCAATTGTTCCAAAATAAGATTTGTTGCCAGCTAAATGGATTTACTTAGTCAGTGTCTCCTATGAAGCCATATTTGCTAAAGTCCCATCTGTTGTCCGTTGCTATTTCGTAATAAAAGACGATATTTATTCAGTAAAACTTACATATATTACTTTTATTTAGTGACTATAAATAAATAATTATTGTACAAATTATCAATATCTTTGGCACGAACTTAACTATATAGAAAAATAAGTATAGATTAACTTATATGTATCTAATATATTAATTAATATTTGCACCAGTCTATATTGCAATGTACAAGTAAAATGAATCAATTTTTATAATTGTGTATTAGGTAGGCACTTTAATTTTTATTATTATTTTTTTTTAACTATATACAAAATCGAACAAATAAGTTTTGCAAATAAAATGTGAGAATAATCTTCATTAATAATAAGAACTTTCTTTAATTGAAATTCATTTGAATTTGCGCAATATATCATTCAAATAGCATAGATTATAAAAAAAAAACTTTTATAAATGCACTTATGTTTATAGAAGTAACTTTCTCTAGGTATATATAAATTTTTAACGACAACAAGAAGTTTTGCCATTCAATCAAATATGAGTATAATTGCTAGCATTGTATTTCGAACACAATAACGTACACACTACTTATCTTCTAAACCAAATTATAGGGACGGATGTCAAAGTAGTAAATAATAACAGCTGTGATGTTTTACTTCTCTTTTAAAAAACTATGTACTTCGCAGAAAAAATTGCTGTCGAATTAGTCATGAAATGACATCAAATTAAAAAACGAGTTCTGCGATTCGTAAGAAGTGAGATCATCACCAAAAAGTATTAGTAGCCTTTGTGAAATGCTAGTATTTCATGCCTCTATGACGAACAGAAAACATAAAGAAATATTAACAGTACAGAAAGAACGATACTATGGAATGGTTTGACTGCGCCATTCCCACACACCATTCGCCTCGAAGCAACGGAAAGCTTTTTATTTTGTAACATGGTATGTACAGATTCCACTTCCCAGCGAGCCATCATGCCAGGATCACGGGAGAAGAGTACAGAATACAACTGAGCCGGTCTCCCGTTTTTGGGCTCTTGACAAAAGTTGAGTACCAAATGATCGTTGACAGCCTTGAGAACTTGCACGGTGCCGCTAAACTGCTGATAGTGGGGATTGGTCGTCATGGTTCCTAAAAAAGAATTAAAAGACATTTTATTATTAGTATCTGTGAAGCCTGCTTTATTATTAAGAAATTTCTGCGCTTCTAGAATAAAATGAGTTATCTAAAGCTTTATATGCTATTATATTTATATAAAAGCATATAAAAGTTGACAGCAGCTTTATATTTATATAAAACTGCTGTCAAAATGAATTAAAAAGCTAGATATACATAGTAGAGCCTCTTTTACATAACATTTAGCATTACGCATTTTCTTGCCTTGTACAGTGGAATTCTGGCCTAATTCTCTTTCTTGACTTTTTTTCATTGTTCAAGGAAATTACACCAAATGACGGTATAATAAAACCATTTGCAAACGTCGCATTTTGACGATGGAAACATCTATTTCTTTCCATATAACCTCAATTATTTTTAATATGATTATATAAACTCCCTAAACTAATCAACTTATTGACAAGCTAAATAATTGAGGGGCTTGATTCTACCGATCATGTACCAAATAATTTTAAAAGTGTATATGAGTCTATTGTAAAACTAAAAACTGATTTTTCTTTACCGTTTTGTCCATCGAACACCTGCCAGTAGCCAGCGGACTCGTTGCGGAAGTAAAGCGCGTACTCCGTGGTCTGCCCACCCTCGTCCCACAGCAGGCGCAAGTGACGGAACTGTTGTCTGAACTTCGCGTTGATGTGTTGCACGTGGAACAACTGATTCTCCGTTGATGGCTGGAAAGCATTTATTTTTATTTATTAGCATTCACCAACAAATTTAGGTACATTTTATGTAATATAGAATCATAAGCTAACGGCCCATCTCATGGATAATAGCAACCGTTGTGGTATGAGGTATACTATGGCCGTATCTGAGAACTATGGTGTTATGTTTCCATAGCCTATAATTTCACTGGCATATAGTAATTTCGTAGCAAAATAGGTCAACTGACTCAACATCATCGACGCCTATTATCCGTCATTGGTATATCACTAGTGTAAACCAATAGTGTAGGCGGTATTTATATTCATTTATCCATAAAAAAGATACATCATATCCTTTTTTATTTTGAACACATTCATTCATATTAACTCACTTTCGCACTAGAAGAAAAAAAAAAGAAAAAAAATGTTGATATTGATATTCTTTTACCATCCTCGGCTAAATATATGTATACCACTAGCTTTTACCCGCGACTTCGCTCGTGTGACCGCAATATATTTAATGACCAAGATAAAATAAACTATATTCTTCTCCATCCTATATAGTACTTGTATACCAAATTTCATAATGATTGGTTAAGCCGTTATGGCGCTATAAAGTAACTTATAAACTTACTTTCACATTTATAACATTCGTGAAGATTTAAGGAATCTTTAAGTTTGAATAACATTCTAATTATCCATTTCACTACAAATGTCTTAATAAGTATAAAATTAAGCAAGCAAGTATCTAATAAAAATAGAATAAAACTTTAATCACTTTCTGATACATTTGCGTAGGCATGAATGTATAAAGGCGTATAATTAATTGTAGCTCCACATCCGTGCGACAGTCGATAACAGTTATTGAACAGTGAACCATGTAATTACATCTGTAAAATCCTATATAGATTAAAGTCAAATTTATCTACCCGATCTTCATCGATATGGACGAATTACATCAACTAAGCATTGTAGTTAGTTACATCTAGAATTCTTAAGACCATCAAAGATTAAATGGGTCAGATAATTTGACCTCTAAAACGTTTACTGGATGAGTCAATACACACGAGGTGAGATCGCAACACGGGGTCAAGAAAGACAATTAAAACTACGACATTGAATTGGACAAATGTTGCATGGTGGGCGAGCTGGGGTACCTCGTCACCTGAGAAATGGGATAAGAAAACGATTATATGTGCTTATATCTCATAATTTATATATGTATGAGAATATTCCATTTCATCTTTTCATTATTTTGCAACTTACCTGTTCCATAATCCACTCCATTACCCAAAGGTTGGCTTGAAAAGATTTCTCTCAACAATATAGCCGCCTTGTTGAGCTAATATCAATTTCATCGTATACCTATGTATATACGATATTATTTCACACATATATATGTATGTATGGCGTAAGTAAAGCATACATTATATTATGTATAGGTATTTTAATGAAAGGCAGAGCTAGCGATAGGTAATATGTATCATATTTTTGCCGTGTGGTCCCAGCATACAATGGATGACCCCTCTCTTTCCCGTGGGTATCATAAGAGGCCACTAAGGGAATTTAATGAGCGAACTATGGGCAGTAACTGGCTTTATCAGTCTTTAAACGTAAATAAAAGCATAACTGCAGTTGCCAACCCGCGTGCCAAACGTGGCAATTACTGGCAAAAGCCCCCTCATGAGGGAGCCTATGTTTAGCAGTAAACAATTAACAACTGATATGACAATGATGATTTATATTTAAATTTACTTGTTTTTTTTTTTTATTATACTCTCTACTATTCCCGCGAGTTCGTCAGAGTGATCAAGATAAACATAAGTCTATACCTATGGCTATCTTTTTTTTTATACAACTTAGAATGGCAAACAAGCTGACGGCCCATCTGATGGAAAGTGGTAACCGTCGCCTATAGACATGAACAGTACCATGGACATAACAGAGTATACTGTTTCGCCTAGATACCCCCCATGCGTTGCCATTCCTGAGGACTCAGGTGTTATTCCTCTGTACCCAGTAAATTCACGCCATATCCCACCCTTCAAACCGAAACACAGCCATGCAAACACAACTGCTTCACGGTTGAAACACGAATGGGACAGAGGTACCCAAGCAATCGACTTTTGTACAAAACCATAAAAAAGGCTGTAAGTACATTAAATTTCTTACCTATTGTCAAGAAATGAGTAACTGAATGAATAAGTATATTATATTTGCATTATATAATATTTGGTAATCGTATCAGTAATAAATAAACAAAACTAATTTACAGGTCTAAAATGTTATATTTTTTTATAATGATTCATAACACCTAAAGTTGACGATATTGAAATAAATTTTATGAGTGGGTAGCAATAAAGTAGATACCATCCCAATCATCCCATTTATAAACAAAATAATTACCAACATGAATAAGTGGATTTTATACAATATAGATTATGCCCACTCGTTCTACTACATAATAGATGTGATTATTATTATGTACATACAGTTATGATCGTTGATAATAAAATATGTTATCATAAACATAATTAAATAACTTGTATATAATTAATAGAACAATAAAAAACATTGAATATTTCCTTTTTTAATGGATGATAATAGAATGGTATACGCTGGTGGAGCACCAGTGAGGGATGATAACTGGGAATAAAAAGGCAGCATAACTGCTAACGCTCGTCGTGATGAATACGCTTGGAATTCAGCACGATGGTTTCCAGGGGGACCACTTGGAAGTTGACCTGTCATGGTATATTGGTAGCAATGGGACTGGTAGTCCACATTACTAATAATCCCTTCGTCCCCCGCCCCCCTACCGTGGATAATTACCACTAGTCGATTCACTAGCAATAATAATGTCATAATTGAAAACACAGTTTTTTTTGAGCGTAAAATCTAGTTATACTTCATAAATATTTGATAAGTTTCAATCAAAATATCTAAGACTGCATATCTATAAAATATAAAATGGGTAATCCTGAAAAAGGAAGTAGGGGAAGGATGTTGGTTCAATAACACCGGAAAATAAAATTGGAACATAGCGAATCAACCGTCGAGGGACATACCAGTCTGAACTATCGCATATTTGTACCCGAATTTATGTATAAATAAAACACCTAACGCAATATATCCACACTGTTCCTGAGCTGTAAATATTATTCATGGTATGATCTCTTTAACATTTAATTGTACTAAGGTGTTATTCTTCTCTTTTTCTCTAATTTTTATAAACAAATATAGTGTATATATAATACAAATTAACGTGTTCTGTCGTAATTTTTATTATCCTGAAATTTAAATCCTAGATGAAGTTAATATCACGGGTATAATAACATAAACAAAATCAAATAGAATATAAATAAACAATAAAAATATGATATTTATTCAACCAAATAGGGAGATAATGTCGTAATTTGTAAAATCAATAGGTATATTGTATTGTCCTTATTAATGTTATAAATGTGAAAGTGAGTTTAATTGTTCGTTACCTTTGTAGGGACCATAAGCTTAGTATAACGTACTACGTACTAAGTAGGGACTATGAAATTTGATAAACACGTACAATGTGGAATGGAGAAAGATTTAGGCTACTTTTTATCTCGGTTAGTTAACAAATCACACAGATGAAGTCGCAAATGCTAGTGTATTGTGTTGTAAAATCTTTATTGTACATAATTCATACTAAATACGTAAATATATACATAATCATATATGATATAGTACTATAATACGCAGATTAGAGATGTGCGCATTATAACATAATGCGAATAACAGGAATAAAATCATAGAAAAATTAATATTTTATATGTTACGAATTCAATAAGTTTGTAATATTGACCACTAAACTGACTTCGCCTCTAAAAATTTAGTCAGTAAAAATTCTATAACAATGAAAATGGCCAAAATGTATATGTAAATGTTCACCATATTATAATGCACAGAATATAACTAGGTATGTAGTTTAATAAATAAAAATATATACAATTTGGACGCCCCAAGGCTCTAACACGGGACATCAAGGTCTAGATTGAACTCCGCCCACTAGATTTTCTTACACAGACAAGACGTAAAAATATCAAATTATCATGTCAATGCTAATAAAACGTCGTCACGTTCAAATCCACTTCCTAATATCTGTTGTAATACATTGACATATGATATTAACATAATGTATACTGTTTATACAACATTTCATGGGGATTGGTTAGGCCGTTAGGGCTTTATAAGATAACAGAACAAATATCATATAATAAAAACAAATTTACTTTCACATTTATAATATTACTGAGGAAGCAAATATTATTTCGTCCAAAAGTTATATATAATCAATAAAGAGTATTTACCTACCTATCTATATATTTTTTCTATATATATCTGAGTACAACAGGAATCAATCACAAGTTACAACAAAGCTTAGGTATCTTTAGGTTTTTTAGTTAAAAGAACCTTGCCTTACCAATGTCGTTTGACCAATGATAGAAAAAAATGTTATAAAAAGTCACTATTGAGTGCTACAAAATACAAAATAAATACGATTAAGTACAAATAAAATATCTTCCTGTAGAATAGTATAACAATATATGCAATATAATGTTAATGCTACCATAATATATTATTTCAAAAAGATTTTTAGTGATTTTCTTTAAAATTTAACTGCATTATTCATTAGTAAGGTATATTTATAAATAAAATATAATAAAAGCTGCCATAGTTAAGACTATATAGGTTATGTTAATGAATGATTGTTAAAATGCAAATAAACTCACTTTCATTTTTAATATTTAAAGATTATTCTACTAATTGTATTGTATTGCTATGGCACACTCACATCTAAAGGTTGCATTTGGTTTTAGTGATTTTTTTGTCATTAAAACGCCAAACAAACTCACTTTTTTTTTTTAATATTAATAAAGATGTATCTATTGACTGTAAAGTTTTACGTATCATAGAATCTCACCTAAATAATAATAATAATACTTATAATGCTTACCTAAAGTATGAATACCTTGGTATTCTTTTGTAATATAAAATATTGGTTTTAATCTGAAAAGTAAAAGATCTGTTGGCAATCAATACCAGTTTACGGTGAGCCGTTAGCATCATTTGTTTACAATTTAACGTCGTATAAAAATAAGATCATCGGTACAATATCTCATACAAGAGGCATAACACCTTTATTCTGTGGAGCGGAAATGCATGAGGAATGTTATAATAGAAGGCACTTTATAAAAACAAACATTCTATCAGACGGATCGTCGATGTTTAAGTTAATTTTCTAGTAACAATATAAATGATGATTAGAAATAAATTTAGTGGCCTATTAGAACCTATTTATTTATACAAATGCTTATACATATTTACTGAAGACAATAAATAATATTATTTTAATTAATTTTCGTTTAATTATTTCATTTTATTAATTGATATACAATAAAAAATCTATATACCTATAAATAACGCGCAAATACATTTTAGTCTATTAAATAGATATAATAATTTGCTTCAATTGAAGAAGTTACACAATACAATCATACAGACATATCGTTTTATTAGCCAGTATTACAGTATTGCTATTTATTGTAGGCATTATGTCATATGTAAATAAAAAAAATAGTTTAGATTTAGGCTTAATTGTAAATTTCATTACTTAATATTGAAATTATATGTGGAACTATAAATTAATCATCATTTATAAAAACATACCCCGAAAGTGGATGTGGGAATTTGGTCGGTCTCCCATATTGTTATAATTGGGCAGCTGTTGTACTTATGGACCCCTTCTTTGCTTAGGTGCAAGTATAGTTCTAATGTTTTCCATTTGCCCGTCACATTTTTAATATCAATGTCGGGCAAATCATTTTTGCCCAAACATGTGATTGTTACGTTATGATCTGTGGAATTGGATGTTTCGACGTCGTCGTCGGCACGGGCATGTGCACATACTAGCAGCAGGATCCCAATGATGGTCCAAATTCCGAACTTCATGGTTCTATTCCTTATAATTCACATTTTATTCGCCACTAATTTGATATAAAACAAATATGAGAAAAGCTGTGCACGAATAAAGTGTTCGCAATCGACTGAGAGCGGCAGCGGCGGCGGCGCGCGCGCCTGACTCAGTCGACTTGACGTTATCACTTGACCCCGACTTATGTACAGACAGAGGTTCCATACCATGGACCTCACCTCTGAAATTTAGGTACAACTCGCGATCAACTGATGATCATATTTTTTACTACTTTCATCGCAATTTTCAAATTGCAATTATTATTTAGCTATTGCTGTATAAAAGTCCGATAGACATCTATTTATGGATGAATGGTAACTTCGCGCGTGCTAACGGAATACACTGGCGGGGCACCAGTGAGAAATGATAGGAGAGAATAAAGCAGATCAGTCAGCCCATTGTGACGAATCCAACATTAAATCAATAACTATGGTTTCCAGAGGAAACCGCGTGAAGGCCAATCTGATAGGATGTATTGGTAACACAGGAATGATTAACCCTAATTACTAACATTTTCTTCTCCCCCCAAAACATGGAATTAACAAAATATACTGTATCGCCCATAATACCTTTCTCACGTTGCCATTTATTTATTCTTTATTGACCATATTACAATAAATGTTTGGTACAAAAGAAAGACTTAATAAATTCTCTCCCAGTCAACTTTTGGCGTAACAGGATTATAATTACGCAGCGAAAACAAATCCTGAGGACTAAGGTATTATGCCTCTATACTCTGTACTCATAATTGCATTATCATATGCGACCTTTCAAACTGAAACACAGCTATGCAAACACAACTGTTTCACAGCAGAAACTCGAATGGTATATGATTTAAATATAGATAGCAAAACTTTTGTATTATTTTTTATAGCATCCAAATAAATACAATTATTATCAACTGGCTATTAGGGCCCTCGAGGGGCACTCATATTTAATACGCTTTCAAAGAAGGGCCAATCAATAATAGTGGGCAGATTAGCAAACTAATGGGTGTAAGTGGGACAATACCTACTAATATAATTAAATACTATAATAAAAATTAAGAACTGTCTTAAAATCATTAGAGTCCTATATCTACGTACAATAATTGAGAGAGTGTTTTCGAGTGCTTACGTCCTTTTACAAATTTAAATAACAATGATCGTAATAATTCACAACCCGTGATGTTCCACTGCTGGACATAGGTCTCCGCCAACTGTTTTTACTTCTTATAATCGCCTAAAGCGTACCAGTTTTCTAACCACCGCCACCTCTTTTCGGTCTTGCAGGAAGTCAAGATATACTCATACGATGTATAGAATAGCTACATCCCGCGGTTTCGCGCGCATAATTCAGTACATAAAGTATTTCTTTTTTATTTTTCTATCAACTGTAAGACTGTGTAAACTGCGCAGGCGGGTTGGCAACTACAATAAGGCTCTGGTGATATGTTTAGGAGGGGCGCTGGTACTTAATTAGGCTTTGGTGATGTATTAAGAGCGACGGTGCCGCCTATCCCTCGACCATTAAATTCTCTTAATTGACATATGCCGGGACATACGGTGTAAATAAAGTATCCTATAAGTATTTTAATTTGAATCAACGACTATCAAAACGTTTATTACATCTAGACAGAAAAAACCTCAAAACAATGATAGGGACAATAACGGGTCATTGTCCATTAAACAAACATCTATACACAATAGGAGCCACAGACAGCCCTCTATGTCGAGACTGTTTCGACGCCGAAGAAACGGCTGCTCACGTAATCCTGGAATGTGAGGCTGTGGCCCATCAACGTTTAGAAATCCTCGGAACGGTGAGGTCGCTCCGTGAGGCCTGTGAAGAACCCAGGAAGCTTCTGCGCTTCTGGACGGAGCTAGGTTGGCTGCACTAGCCACGACTCATACGCACAATGGCCCAAATGAGAGGCTAAGCGCGGAAAATGGAGTCCTTTTCACATTCACATTCACATTCACACAAGTATATTAATTAAGAATATAACTCACCCGGTACCAAGATTCATTCAAATCCGTTCAATATTTTTTGTTAAATAAGTCAACATCCATCCTTACATACTACCGCATTTATAACATTAACAGGATACCGAACCACTTGTCGATTAGCATACTATCCACATTTCCGCTTTTTTATAATAATAGAATTATTTTATTACGGAATGTAATAAACAATCTGACTACTCACCAAACAGAAAATATTAACCATTATTCAAAGATATAAAACCGCTAATACCTCTCGTCCTCATGTCCTTGCACATCTGTGTTCGTGTTTTTTATGACTTCCCTGTGGTTGACTGGAAGAAAATTCTTTTGGCATTTTCTCCCGGTTTTAGTTGTCTAGTAGATATTACTTTCAGCGATTACGGCGCACATTGTTATTCCTTTATATATTATTGTTACAAGTAGTTTTTTTACGGTATACGGTGGTGGGGCACCAGTGAGGGATGATAGGTGAGAATGAACAGGGAGGTTAGTTAGCCCAACGTGATAAATACACTCGGAATTCAGCACGATGGTTTCCAGAGGGACCACGTGGAGGTCGACCTGACAAGAGTATATTGCTAGCTATATTATATTATATTGCTAGTAATGGGACTGGTAGTCCGCATTACCAACAGTCCCTCCTCCTTGTTCCAAGTAGTAACATTAATCATTAAAAAATAAAAATAAAGCCTATTTATTACTATTGTTATTAACATTAGGTATATCCGCATCGTACTAAACTGTGTCTTGTCACTTGTAAAAATATTCAACACAATGCAATATTGTAACGAATAAAATAAATTGAAATTGAAATTGTGTTACAAAAATGTAAATAACGTGTATTTAGGTTTGTATATGTATGTTTTAATTTCATATCTCAATTTAAATAGACATAGTGACTGCATACAACTTGCGTCTTAATTTTTGACCCCTAAATGGACTCAAAACAAACTTAATGATTTCATCTTTAAGTTTACTGATAGCTACAATACAAATAAAACTATAGATAAAACTAAAATGGTCAAGTGCGCATTGCAACTATGCTTATAGTTTACGGACGCATCGATATTATCATGATGACAATTAATTACTGATTATAGATTTAATTTGTAGTTCATAATAAATCAATTTACATGATGATTAGAACATTTATAGAGACATCAATATCTGAACAAGTAATCTAATGTAAAACTAGTTTACTCGTGTTTATTTACAAAGATTATTATCCCATTATATAACGCATGTTAGTTTGTATTGCGCTTATTCAAAGTGCAGTAACACTATCTGACAATTGATAGGTAATTTGCGGGTCATTCGATCTTAATGAATGAATTGGAACCATTTCACACACGCTACATTCGAACTGTGTCATGCATCATAAGAAGTATGTAACCTATATCTATAATATTTAAAAATTTCATAATATAACGCATCTCAATTAGCCTACTGTAGTCCACTGTTGAGCAAAAACCTTTCCTAAGGCATACCACTAATTATGATAAAATAAAAATATTAAAACATACAGAAAATACATGAAACATTTTTTTTTACGTAACAGATTTAGATTGTAATAATAATTGTAAACGAATAATTCAAAAATACTAAGTACACAAGTAATACTTACCCGATCCATCGGTTCTGATATGTGGATAACAATACAAGTCCTGGCGTAGTCCACCCTGGCGTCACCAGCCAAGTGCTGTATGAACTCTACTCCATACCACATACCCATCAAACTGTCCACCCAAATACCCATCTGTGGGGACCGGTTCACACAATAATCCCTAATACCTCTCATGAACGGTGCTTCGTAAGAGCTATAACCTCCAGTGTACTCCTCGCCGTATCTTTGTCCGTAATCCATTCCATACCTTGTAGTGGGGTATTGAGGTTTATTGTAATACCCGCCTGAATTTGAATATGTGTTGTAACTACTCGTGTTATATACAGGGTTGTAATTCGGATATCGTGTCGCCTCCGGAAAGTTGGCGATGTCACTGCCATAGTTCCCTTTATATGTTGGATATTGGTTGTACAAATTCGATATGGTTGTGTAGCTCGGATATCGACTGGTCGTTTCCCCGTAACGACCGTAATTTGCACAGTCAACTACTGTACACAAACTAATCCATAGCACGAGTATTCGGTACATTTCTCGTAATTTTCCAACGTGCGTACAACGTCGCGTGATAGTTGGATGGCGAACAGTAATGTGTGACTGTGCCGGGATCACTATAGGAGTGGGAAGTAAACTAATTAAGCCCAATGTTCTTGGCGACTCCCCCAGATAAATGAGCGTTATTCATATCCCTTGTTTAATTTAAAGCTCGTTTTGTTAAGCCAGAGGAAACGATTCTTAATTCGTTTGTAATTTTTTGGGGCTGTATTAATGAACCGATTTTGATAGTTCTTTTGCAATCGATAGGGTCTATGCCCGAGTTCATTTCATATTAACTTTATGGCGATTAAAAATTTACTTTTACGCTTTTTTACTTTTACTCGAATTACAATTAGCAAATCAAAAAACTACTTATTGTGCAACAAAATCTACAAACAGACACCATTTCGTGACTAAATATTTTAAATCTAATATAACTATGGAACGCATTGTCATTCAATGGTATATTTTATCACGACTATAGGTGTCTGACTTTTTTTTGTAGGTACTTATATAATATTCGAAAAACTAATGCATGTGTAAAAACTACAGTATCAAGAAAGCGTAGGTACCTACTTGACTTATTTTTAGATTCTTTAATTAAATATTACAAGAATACTAACTGTAACAAAACCTACGTATAACACTTACCGTCAGAAACAATTTACTTACTAAGGAAATATTGCATAAACTGATAGCAATCAATACATATAATAAAATCGTAACTGGTCGCTGTCTGTACATGGAAGACATATTAGAAATAATATTATAGGGGTGCTTTATGAACCCAAAACAATGATTTTTAGATTTTTGTCTGTTTGTCTGCATGTCTGTTTGTCTATACGTTTGTGCACGCTAATCTCAGAAACGACTCAACAGATTTTAATGCGTTTTTCAATAATGCGTTGCGGTTTGCTCCACTTAACATTTCGTGTTTCTTTTATTTCAATCGATTCATAAATAAAAAAGTTATATCAATCTAAAAAATTACATATAAAATGCTATAAAATAACCGATCAGTTGAATTGACTGAAACTTTATAAATGTATTGCATACATAATTATCATTTAAGTATAATATATAATCCACCAGAAGGAGACTTTCTACAAAAGTCGTTTGCTTGGGCACCTCTATCCCATTCGTGTTTCTACCGTGAAGCAGTTGTGTTTGCATGGCTGTGTTTCGGTTTGAAGAGTGAGATATGGTAGTGAATTTACAGAGTGTAGAGGAACACATAATAATAATAACACCTGAATCTTCAGGAATGGCAACACATGGAGGTATCAAGGGCGAAACGATATACTCTGTTATGTCCATGGTACTGCTCATGTCTATAGGCGACAGTTACCACTTTTCATCAAGTGAGCCGTCAACTTGTTTGTCATTCTAAGTTGCATAAAAAAAAAACAATATAAAACCGGACTCATGAACAGTTCCAATGGGAATGATATACGGGAGCTACATAGTTAGAAGCGGTCAACACCGCGGAAAACGGCTAGTTCTATATAAATTCATTTTTTGTTAGATTCAAATACGTTTAGCGAAATATGAGCAAGTTGAGTGTTGCATTCACCACAACGGTAACTGTCGACAAATATCACTGACTACTCCAATAGTGATTATTGTTGTATACATATATATATATTTTTATTTTTATAATTTATTAAATTAGGTCATAGTATGAAAAATTAATAAGCAAATTTTGTTAGAATGAGAATGGCGTCACGCCTACGCGTTAAGACGGAAATTAAATAGAAAATATTCTTGAACTTTACTTAATATTTCACTTTTAAATTCATTTTCTGTAGCTTTCAGAGTGTAGGCGCAATACAATCTTGATAACATCCCTTTATTCATTATGAAATTTATTTTGAGACCTAACTTTCTTAGTAACCTGTTCATAACTATTCATTTCATATTTATATTTTTTTTATATTTATTAGTACATAACAAAACATAACAATAGAAAAATATTAATATTTTGTTAATCTTAATTAACAAAATATTAATATATTTAAGTTAATTATAATTCAAATGGTGGTCTAAGGACCACCATTCGAATAAGTCTTCGTAGTCTAGTTACAAAAATTCTAAAATATTGACCTGAATAAATTTTATTTACATAATTACAAATTTCAAAAATATTTAATTTATTACCTTATACGTTCACCAAAACTTCATTTTGTTATCTCTTAACATTATTCGGTAATTTATTAATAGGTTTGCTAAAAGAAAATATATTATAATTGGCAAACGTCATTTTGCCTTCTACTGCCTACCAATCCTTTTTTCTTATTGGAATGAAAACAATAATATTCTATCTCTCAAATTAAAGCAACCCACATACGTTTACAAAATGTAATTAAAAGATTTTGAGCTGTTTCGAAGATAGGTTGAACGAATATCATAATTCTAAAGTTTTACTCATGAAGAAATTCTTATATTATTTAGCTTTTGCAATATACTCGTTTGTTGATCTTAAAACATACGTATCTACTCATATATCATCGCTCATAATTAAAATGAAGTAGGTACCAAATGTTAAATGGTTTAACACGTGTAATTGAAATAATTTGCTTAAACTAGTGTTCCTGTTCATCTCACTGCTGATACGACCCCGAGTTCTGTCCACGAGGTCCAAGGGCAAAAGTCACTGGTACATCCTTCACAAACAATACTGTTAATAATTCTATTACAAAATGCTAATCCTACTAATATCACAAAGGTGAAAGTTTGAAAAGGGTTTTGTAATGTTTAGATGTTTGTATGTTACTCGACCACTCTTGAATGGCTGAATGGATATCAATGAAATTAACTATACGGGCGAGTTATGTCCAAACTTGAAGTATATATACAAGTGATAAATGTGGATAATGTTGGGGGAAACAACTAGTGTCACCATAAATTAATATGAACCAGTGAAACCTGTGACACTGCGACATTTCCATTATCTTTTATACTCGCCCTTTTTTAAAGATCACTACCAATTTCTATCAATGACAGGAATTTTAAGATGTTTTTTGTAGCGATGTTTTTTATCTCCTCAGGATTGTATTTTCCAAAGGAAATATATCGTTTATAAATGAGTGGGCTAGTCACAAATTAAGTGCTGCGGCGTTTCTTCCTCCTGTGTCTTTATCTTTAGCCATCTTCTAAACGTAAAAACCGTTTACCGTACGATTGGAAACTTAAAAATTATTTTAACGTGGCGGTTATTATATATTTCTTAATTCTTTATTGCACAATAAAATTTGTACAAAAAGCAAGCTTAATGCCATATGACATTCTCTACCAACTAACTATTAGGTAAAAATAGAAAGCATATGAAGGGCAGGTGTGGCGAAAAATATGTGACATAATTATAGCAATATATTGAAATAATAATACATAAGAAAATCACATATAATACATAAACATTTTTTATATATTAGTGTAGTGTAAATTTCATATATATTAGTATAGAGTTTTTAAATCTTACCTTAATATATATACATATATATATATATATATATATATATATATATATATATATATATATATATATATATATATATATATATATATAATGCTCTACAGAACGGGTGTATTAAGATTTCTTCAGAGTCGGTAATGCACATATGACATCCTTAGTATTGCAGGCATCAATAGATTACGAGTACAGTGACCGTTTATCATCAGACGGGTTGTATGCTTGGTGGATGCTTGTTTGCCACGTTCGTTATAAAAAAAATCTTTATTTTTATATAACGAACACATTATTTACTCTATAATTAGGTACATAACTGTTATCGTATTAACCCTTGACATTTATATATATATATATATATATATATATATATATATATATATATATATATATATATATATATATATATATATATATATATATATATATATATATATATATATATACAAAAATATATATATTTAAAGAGTTCTGGTTCACTTCTTCTCCTCACTCCCCTTTTTTTACCATAACAATCAATACAGGTGCTAACGGCGCACATTAAAAGTTTTGCAAATTCGTACGTCTGCAAGAGTCATCATAATTTAAAACTTGAACAGCCATCTTTCCTTATTTGCTTCCTTTCTCCACCCCTGAACAAAAACTTGACTACATCACGATAAGTAGAAGTAGTAAGCACAGGCAAATATTATTTATAATTTTTTTAGAACGAATGGATAGATGTGCCTACCATTAAACATATATAAACATAAATATATATCTACCTACATACATCTCAGTTTGAATGTTTATATATTCGTTACTCAATCTTAAATGACTGAATGGATTTGACGACGAAAATTAACACATAGGATATTTTATATACTTACTGATTCCCAAAAACAAAGCAACGGTATATATATATATATATATATATATATATATATATATATATATATATATATATATATATATATATTATATACTTACTGATTCACAAAAACAAAGCAGTTCTGTTTTTTTATATCAGGTGTAATATAGTGTAAATAAATTAATAAACTTCTCAAAAACTTTATTACTTGGAACAGATTTCATTTACATTACTTATTTTAAAAATATATATACCTAGGTAGACATACATTTAGTAACTTTAAATATAATAAACATAGTTAACAATTACAATACTATTAGTAAAGTCATACAAAGTATCATAAAATATAAAGAACTCATTTGAACACAACCAGCACAGATTGCCGAATACCTATACATATTCGGTAATTCGAATCTGAAAAATTGCCTTTGTAAATCATACCACTCCCACCTTTCAATCTTTGATGGTGATCTTCGGAGTATGAGGGAGAAAATACCTCCGCCACCTTTGTCTGAACAATGATTAATGATCATCATATGAGGAGTTAATTTCAACACTCTTATCACTTCGGGATGTCTCGGAGTATCTTCGGGGAACCATACATCTGTAAACAATAAATGTTATTAGTCAATTTAAAATTCCCGAAGATACATCGTTGAATAATCTGAACTATCTGGTCACAAATTAAACACAGCTTGTAAATACGACGGTTAGCTTAAATTATACATCTAGATGGAATGTCAAGTGTTAAAAAACGGTCCAAAAACGAAAAAACTATATTCATAATAATGTAGACACTTTCTAGACACTAATTTCAGGTTTTGAAATTAATCTGTGAAATAAACATTTAATACATAGGTATGAAGGACGTAATCAAAGTTTTCGGAATAGAACTAGTAATGTTCCATGACTAATGTCATTATAATGTCATTATAATTAATGTATTATATTCCTATTTTAATACAACCACAGTTGTAATTAAAATAGAAATTTTGGAGGAATGAAATTATAACAGAAATTTTTGGAGAAAAATAAAATGGGATGGAAGAAATTTGTTTTTTTTTTTTGATAATTTTGATAGAATGAATTTATATACAGAAATTTTTAGAATCAAAAATAAAATGGGTAAATAAAATAAAATTTACAGAGATCTTTTTTCATTCTTTGTATATAAATTCAATAGCAAACCAACACAAGTTTGTGATTAGGTTAAAGTAAACGAAATCGTAATAATTTAAAGAACAACTATTTTGAGTAAAAATCAATAATCGTATCTGGTAACCCTGAACAAGAGGGGGGAAAAGATTTTTTTTTTTTTTCATTCTTCCTTAATAGTTAAATGGTATAACATAGGCCAAACAAACATAAGTTTGTGATTAGGTTAAAGTAAACGAAATCGTAATAATTTAGATAACAACTATTTTGCATTTGAGTAAAAATCAATGATCGTATCTGGCAACCCTGAACAAGACTACCCTTAGAAAATTCTAGTGCTATGCTAAAGCTACTTCTGCTATACTCGTACGTATAAGTATCTACATGCTCACCTATCCCTCTAGATAGTAACAATGTTTCCAAACGCTGACGTTGCTCAGCAACCCAAAGCCCTGGAGCCTCTGGGGAGTACACATATACCTGCTCCATTGTTTGTCCGTCCTCATCCCAAATGATCCGTAAACGTCGCTCATTATAAATATCCCTCTTGACCTTTCTCTTGAGACGAACATCCAACCACGACCCGGACATTTGGGTGTCTGACCACGGATTGCTTTTGTATGATCGCCAATTTTCATTGGAATAATTTCTTTTCATTATCTGCAACACAATTAAGGGAAACGGATAAATTAATATAATAAAGGTGTACTAGTTGCACTTACTTCGTTATTTCGTCTGTCTGGGACCGGGACTTATTCATGAATCGGGAATCTTCATCCTAAATATATACTTAACTGAATACTAATTTCATGGCGATTAGTCAAACAATTAAGGTGATAAGATATAACAAAGAAATAAACAATCGATTGATTTTCATATTTATTAGTAACAACAAGTAAAGACTTTATAAAACAAACTTTAACATAAGATGTTTGTTATTTCCTTACTAAAGAACATGGAAACACATATGCAAACACATCTGCTTCACGGTTTTACAGAGTTATCGGTAAGTCCTTGTTGTCCTAGAGTTAGTTCGGTCAAGAATTATCTAATTCGGTCAAGAATTATCTACTGGTCGAAAACTCTTATCTATAGCCAGGATATCACTATGACTAAAACGGAATACAATATCTGCATCTGCACAGTTGCTTGCAATGTTTCAGTTTGAAGGATAGGGTAAGGCATAATTCGAAATCCAAATTATCTTTATTCTGATAAATTTATTTACAAGCAGTTTTAAATCTATTTTCAATCTACTACAGGGTTCGAAAGTTTGTTATGAAAGGCGAAGAACTTACGGTAACTTAAGGTTTGGAGACATAACACTTTAGTCCTCAAAAATAGCAAGACAAAAGAGGGATGTTTTGTCCTATGGTTAGACTCAAAGATATCATTTTAAAAACTCAATTTAAAGACCTGTTGTAAAAAAAAAAAAACAAGAATACCATAAATAATAGAGACCTATGTTATCTAGAACAAAACAGCAAAATTAATACATACCGACCAGTCGAGCCAATCATCCTGACCTTCAACACTTGCATCAGTTATATACAGTGTGACGCAGCCTACTTCATTAGGCTTGTTAGTCATATCTGGGGTATGTTGAGCGTAACCTACACCGTACCATATTCCATAGGCATCCTCTATGTTCAAATGATGTGACCAACGGATGCTAGAGCCGCAAAAGCCTTGGACTGTTGAAACGAATGTAATTATAATCAGCAACACCAATGGAGTGAACATGGTGCGCTCCACTGGAAGAATGCTTAGTATATGTGACACAGCGTCGATCTTGGCTGTAGTGTGCTTAATTAGCGAATTGGTACAGGTAGTGTATTTGATGCATGTCGCAATGACTGCAGTTGAATGAATTAAAATGATGCAATCAGGGAAAAGATATTAATATTTTAGAATGTAGTTTATTTTCTAAAATTTTGAAAGTTTCTGAAAAATTTTAGTCATTCCTAAACATAGATATGGATTTGTATAAATGTCGTAACTATATATATTTTGCTGTTTACATTCTTCGCTTTAAAGTAGCCTCAGAAGACTTTTCTTGATTTTGACTAAATACCAAATTATAAAACTTTCTAAATATTGCCAATTGTGGTATGATAATTTTAATATATGTTTTATAAGAGAAGATTAATTAATGAAATCATTTAGATAAACTACACATGATGATTTTAACTAATTTTTTTTTAACCCAGATCGGGTTATTTTTATGTTTTTAATAATTTCCATAATTCCCCGGTCTCTTATAAACTATAAACATACAATGCGAGAATCTAAAAATTAATATGGTAATTTTGATTGTTTTTGTGAAGATTTTATAAGAAATGCAGCACCTTATCTAAAAGTAAATAAGTAAACAGTCATTTATAAATATGGCATATGAACGTATGAAACAGTCAACGTGCATCGCTTCTCCTTCAACCCTACAGTGCAAGGTGTTAAATAATTCCTAATAATAATTCCATTTGTTTTCCTGTCTTTCAAAATGAAACAACGCATGTGTGCGTATTACTCATAGCAGAAATGAACATTACCAGTATTACGATGGTAATGTTTACAAATCTCCATTGATTGAATTCCCCTTAAATTTAACATTATTTACCTGATTATTATATTCTTAATTAATAAGAAGTTATTATAATAAACCCTAATATATCAGGTATTTGAGTAATAAAATCGATTTAATTAATATTAATAATTTAGGCGTCCAATTAATACCATGAACCATAATGGTGTAGCGTTTTAATACATTTTCAATGGCCACTACAAATCCCGAGCACACAATACAACACTAATTTGTATTCATGAGCATATGTTTGTATATCTTTATTATATATACGTATTTTCAAAAACAAATATGAGTAATACTATTTATATATTGTCATTAATAAAAGATCTGCTTCGTTTTTTTTTTATGGATGGTAATGGAATGATAACCTCACCTGCGCTAACGCTAACTAACGGTACACGCTGGCGGGACACCAGTGATGTTTGATAGGTGAGAATGAAAAAGCAGCTCACTTAGCCCATCGTGATGAATACACCTAGAATTCAACACAATGGTTTTCAAGAGGGACGACGTAGAGGTCGACCTGACAAAGTTTATTGCTAACAATATTGTTAGTAGATTACATAACTAACAATCCTTTCCTCCCAGTTCTATTTAGTTTGGTATTAGATGTATCTATATTTGAGAGAGTAGTTAATTATTAGTTTAAGTAATATTATCATTTAAAAATGGTATGACACCACCTATTTTCATTTTATATAATTTTATACACTCCCTCTGATTAATCATCCTACATATAAACGTAAACCTATATAAACGTCAAACATCTAATAAACATATTGAATGTTTAATATATATTTGACCAGGCCATATAGACCATAACCACTGGCAATACCATACCCATTACTCACATTGTCAATTTTTGTAATCAGAAAGATTTTGAAATAGAATAAATACCTAATAATTTCACTGCCATATCGAAGTATATAATTTTAATTAAAGGAATATATCCTTCCAAATAAAGAAAATACTCGTATTTTTCGAAATCGATTTACAACGCGCGCGTAAAGCCTCTGGTATTGCAAGCGTACATAGGCTGCTGTAACTGCTTACCATCAGGTGGACCGTATGCTTGTTTGCCACCTCAGTGGTATAAATAAAAATCTGACGAAGTTATGAGGTAACAAACGTAAAAATACAACTGAATTGAAAATATCCTTCTTTTTGAAGTTGATTGGAAAACATAGTTTTATTGAATTTTAATCCTTTATATTATTTGCTTTAAAATTGTGATTCACAAAATTATTTGTGATTGACTTTAGGACTAGAATACTTTAGTACTTCTAGTGGTATATTCTAAAAACTCTCAGGTTGTTTAATAAAATAATAGATAATAATTATTTTTTCTAACTTTACTAATCATTATAGAAACTCGTACAAAAATATTTGGCACACAATAGTTTATATGTAATAATATTATGACATTAATCTTTTATCAACCTTAACTTTCAAACAGAGATCTTCTATACAGAAATAAAAGGAATATAAAAAGGAAACTGGAATGTTTGATATTGGTGGCTGAGTTTTCGCAGACTCTCTTCAAAGCCGATGTAGACAAATGTTTCATGGTAAAAACGTTGTGGATGCTGGCCAGGTCCTCAGGGGTGAGCTGATTCTCATTCCTGGAGAGTACCACACTGTACAACTGGGAATGAGGCAGCCTCATGCAGAAATTCAGTACTAGATGGTTATTCGCCACTTTTAATACTTGGATGACACCGCCGAAGAAGCGATACATTTTATCGACAGCTGAAAGTAATATGAAACGACATTTTAAATAAAGCATAAAAAAAGCATTAATTAGTTTAGCAATAAATAGTAATATTGTTACAGTTACAATATATTTTATAATTATTTGTAAATTATATAATAGTATTGTCATTTACCAAAGTTACTACCTACACCCTAGAAATAGAGTTATGTCATTAATTATTAATACTTATATAAATAAATTGTCTATGCATTAAAAAACATATAAAAAATAAAAATTAAATTGTACACGAGTTCATGACTGTGAATGAAGCACGAAGTTTGCCCATAGTTCAAACATAACACAAGTATATTCAACGTTTTTAAAAATTTATTAAATTCAATTTATAAGAGGACGAGCTGAGTTTTTGTGGTCTCTCAGATTAACTTAGTATTTTATTAAATTAAAAGTGAATAGCGTGTGAACAAGGTTACGAGCTCAGATAGCATTCATACTCTGTTTCAATAGAACTTAATGATAAGGTAAATATTTTTCTAAGTCATCACAGAAACGCGCTCTTAATTAAATTAGTAACAAATCGAAATTATTAAATTATTAATTTGATATATGTATTACTATTAAACATCAAGAAATTGTCTTATAGTCAGGTCAATTATTCGTTTATTAACACATTCTTTAAATTCTATTAAAATTGTGATAAATACTTACTTCCGGTTGGCACGTCTGTTGGCCAGAACCCTTTGTGCGATGTATTAACCTTGATATGATAGTCGTCTTGCCAAAGTCCCTCGTGCCATTCGAGGACAAAGTGTCTGATGCGGTACTGCTCTTGCAGCCCGTACTGGTGATTAACGTACGGCATATTTGTCAACGTCGGATACGGAGTTGGAGGCGTAGGCTGAAATATAAAAAAATTACTATCAATAACATTATATACACTCAAATTAAAATATAATTAAATTAAATTACTAAATTACTTAAAAAAATATAATTGAAAAAATGTAGTATCAAAGAATTATGCCCTTTGGACTAGGTACTGTGCCAATCATTGACTACATTTTCTGGCTTTTATTAAATTACAATCATTTAGTTTTCTATAAAAATTAAGCCGACTTTGAATCTTCACGACGAAAAATGTTTAAAAAACTGTAAGAATTATTTTATGGATAACTTCTAATGTATATAAACGAATTCAAAATAAAGTTCCCAAATCTTTAGATAAACCCAAAATCACAATGCCAAAATCAATGAATCTCTAACAAATCACTTACTAAGTTTCTGTTCACAAGCCCTCCATTTACATAATCTTCAAATTTCCTTATTTGAATAATGGGACAGTAAGGATTGTATTCAGTTTTCGTTTCGTTCTCCTTATGAAATATGTATTCCCTTATATACCATACTCCTAATAAGCTTTCTTCGTCAAAGTCATGCACGGCGTTTAAGTTAGGACAAAAATTTACATTGTGTGCATAACCCAATGAAATATACAAGGCAAAAATAAAGGTCAAAGATCTCATGATTTTATAGTGAACTTAATAATTTGTGTCGACTCAATAGAGCAAAGACTAATGTATAATTGGTGGCTCTATGTCCCTCCTTCTTGTCGTCTTCACACAATTAACCTATTAATTAACACAGTGACTCCATATCCTGTGAGGATATGTTTCTATGAGTCATAATTTCAGATCTTACTAAAATTACAAATATTAAAATTGAAGAAAATGTTTGGTTTTTAATATAAACGGATGCTTGAATAACTCTTGCTGACCAAATTAGGCATATACAAAAATTATATGTACCTCATTATTGTGAAATTTTTAATCCATCTAAGTACTGAATGATTCAAATGATATCGTAATATTAATTATGTAGAGAGATATTCAAAAGATTGGTTTACAGCAGTCAACATATATATAAAACTGTAACGAAATTAAGAGTTTCAATCAATAATAACTCATTTAGTGTGCCATTGCTGGGTATTTCCCAAGAGTGGAAGTAATCAGGCTACTCTACCACGCTCTTATACTAACGTATGGTGCATTACAATTTTATTATACGGATAATTAGAAATTTCTACCTGATCCCATTATAGGATCTATATCTATGCAACATTATTATTATCTAAATTCAATTGTTTTTGCCAAACGTTAATAGATTAGTCCACAGAATAAATACTGCCATAGGACATAGATAGATACTCTCTATTCCTCTCTTAAGCTGGTCTCCTCCTCTACAAACCTCCTTTTGTCTCAAATGCAGCTAAACGAAAAATGATATCGCGTCTGATTTATAATATCTATTTATGTAATAGTGATAATTGTAGATCAGGCTATTTTTTGGATCACTAAATAAAAGAAAAAGTACGTAAATGAAAACTTAGCTGCGTTTACAGAACTGAATAATTTTCACCAAGGAAAACAATCGAAATATCTTATTGGCATTCAGATATGCAAACAAATTTTGACAATAAACAATAATAGGTTAGTTTTTATAGACTATCATATTTATAAATATATTTATTGTTTAAAATCTCATGGATAGCTCTACCTGTAGAGGAAAAAATTAGGTTGTACATTTTTAATGTATTATGCATATCTTTCTATTTAATATAAAATCTAAAAACTTTCCGGGTAGATATCCGGGTGAAGTCGGAACGAATCACTAGTTATATTATATACATATAGTTATATTCTTTTTTAACATATACAAATATTTATTGATTAAACTCATATACACGTAATCTTTCAAACGAACAGAGTATAGATGAAAAAAAAACATATCAGAATGTATGTCTCTATAAAAAAAGGCAAAGATAACTAAAAATAAAATTTATTTTATAAACAAGTTATGTGTTTAGCATAACTATTTTGTAATAATGCCGCTAGTATCTAAAATATGGTATACCTCATAAAAAATGCATTTAATATAGTATATAATTTAATAAGTATGTACATATAAGTAACTCAGAAAAATATCTCGATTGTTTATAACTTAAATATTTTAAATAATATACATAAAATTTAATTACAAATACCTACATATTTGTCTATGTTATGTACCTATACTCGGATCTACTGAATAATTGCACGTATTTAATCAATTTAAAATTTTATTTCACTTAATACCTATATCTTTTATGTCAAAATATACGAGATCAGTCTATACAAAAGTAACAAGCCCTTATCGAATAAAATCAATTCAACTGAGACCTCGTCTTTTCTGAAATAAAATATAATAACAAACCTGGATATAAAGTTCCTTGATATCAATATAGAAACATTCTTTTGTATGTTCTATTTTGTATTCCCCTTTCGAATGCGGAATTTTTTCAACACCGTACCATACGCCGGATATCTGATCCAAATTAATATCGCCATAGTACGGTGACAGGTCATCACAATATTTGTGATTTTCGAAGTAGTAGCTATTCTGATTATAATTGTAACACTGTACAAAACCCACACAAAGCAAAATCGTTAGTAGATTGTAAGTCATTATGGATTAACCGACCGAGATAACCCGGATATAATCGGATAAACGTTTCGGATAAACTCAACCGGCAGTACCAGGCGACTATACTTCAGAGAAGGTACCGTGCAGATTAACCAGCGGATACAATGGAAGAGAACTCTATGAGACACGTGGGCGAGCTCCCAAATAATTCACAGTCAACTGACGATGTCTCACGGATGCCACACTGCTGGTAATTTACTCGTTATGCGGGAATGCTTCCGTGATACATATTACCGACGCAACTGTGTAGGGGGCTACGTGCAATTGAGGTACTCTTGCACTCTAAGAATGTACATATAAGTAACTCAGAAAAATATCCTGATCGTTTTGTTATACCTATCTACTAAAACTTATTAAACTTCGAACAAAATTTTCTTCAAGTTTTCCTTGTTGGAATGCAGAAAAATATCTTTGGAATTTTCCAGTGGCTTCTCAAGTTTTCCTCCTCTGGCAAACGCTTTCCTTAGCATACTTAGATGCTAGGATATCAGAAGTACCAGAATGTAGAGTGTAGAAAATCAATACTATGTAATGACGTCACTAGGGGTTACATATCGACCGGTCGCGATGAGACGCACGATGTGTAAACTTATTGATTTTTTCCGAACTATGACTATGGTAGATACGTATATACACCATGAAGTATGCTCAAGAGTTTGAATTTACTACAATAATTCATATTTTATCAGCTCTACCGACTAGAGCGCTACTCTTAAGTAATGAATGACTGAAATATTTTTTAATTATGGGCTATAAAATATAGTTTACTTACATACTTAAATCAATACAAAAATCCTACACTCATTTTATTTAACTAACAAAGACATGAATAAATTTATTAGAGATTTTCAAAATATACATGACACCTGAAATGAAATAATATGCATTAGTCATGTCGTAAACTGTAGGCAAAAAACTTAGAGCTTAAAAAAATTAGTTTTTTGTTTATTAGATGTCATATACGCTTTGAAAATCTTACTGCGCGTTCTCTCTAAACATAGTTCATGTAAATAAAGAGCATTTATACCAAATTTTATATATGTATATATATATAAAATTTATATAAATATATGTATAAAAAGTTATTTTTGCTTTTATAAACATCACGGTAACTATTTATTTTTACCAAAATACCTATACGTTGCAAACAACGGTCAACGGCCGACACGGTGTGTATTCACATCTCTTGTTTCGCCGAGAATAATTTATTTCATATAAAAAATACGAGGAATGCCGTTTTCAAATGTTTCACTAACAAACAACATACGAGTATTTTATCGTATCTTTTTTTCTAAATAATATCTGGAACAATAAACTTTAGAATGAATAAACTAACCTAAAGCAAAAATTTATGGTACAAAATTTAATAATAAAGTATTATTTGTTAGTACTTTTATCATTATTATGCATCTCGATACATCCATTTAAATTCATAATAAAAAAACTAATATTACTTAAACAGGAGATCGTAACATTGCTATATTTATCTCCTCGTAGCATTTTCATTACAAAATGGCAAGTCGCTACGACGGCGACCTACAAATTGCGAATATCAAAAAAGTCCTCCAAATAAAAAGTTCATACGTCGAACTATTGGCACTATAATAAAGATAAGTCCACCTTTGCACATATTATTATATTTCTAATTGTTATTCGTACTGTATGTTTGAATGCAATAAAAATATACAAAGACAACCAGGGACTGGGAATAAGTTTTAAAAGGAGAAATTCGTCTTAACTGGGCTGCTTTTGTCTTGTGAATTTTACTCGATAGCATACCCAATTCTTAATTAATTTTGATATTCACCATCTTGGTTCCATATTCATTTTCTCGGTCTGGAAAAGTTGTTTACAAATAAATACAATGCTCAAGTGTTAAATACTTACAAATAATCAAGTTACCTTTTTTCATTTTTCCAAAATATAAAACATTATAAATTTTGTGTTAGTACTTTATGTACTTAAATACTGGGATACCATATTTTAGTAAATATTAAAGTAGTGAAGTCTAGATTTTGTCATACCTAACTTCGATTAATCGCTGAATACTCGGCACTTTTTTGTATCTTAACCTACAACGACTTATTTCGAAAATATTCATATTCTAAATATTGCGTACAGGTTTTACTTCAACCCTCACAAAATTAAAATACAGAAGTAAACCCTATTGATTTTTTTTTTACAATATGTAAAACAATCGTCAAAATCGATTTAGGTAGTAGGGCACGTCGCCTAACTTGAATAGAAGTAAAGAAATCAAACAAATTAAGAACTTTTTCTATTCCTTCTTTTGGAAGTCCCAACTAAAAACCCCGGAAGTCACCTTTGCAATCTCTAGATCGTTGTACCAATTGAATAACGGATACGTTTTTTATTCGCAGACCCAGTGCTATCAAAGTGATCTTTTCCATCATTTTTAGTTTCACTGATTCAGTCTCTCGCGCATATCTGTTATACTTCCTCTTTTGAAAGCCATAAATGATATCCAATGTTCGCAGCCGACGTATACAGATAGGAAAATCATTGACATTATCATTTCCATTGGTCGATGAAATTAATCTCTTCACATATATGAACCTTGGGAAATTCCAGATTGAGATTAAATTTTTCGCTAACCCCATGTCAATGAAATTGCGATGGGACTGCCCCGGAGGTTTTGTGGTTTTCTCTACTAGGGTTGCAGAGACTTTATGGAGTTTGTATCTTATATTACGGTCAATAGTCTATTGGTTAAGGACATCACTAAATCGTATCTTTATCCCCCTAAAGATAAGAAGTTTAATATACTTAATTATATGACAAATTCACACGGTGACTCCATGGTGTTACTTACCTTACTATATCAACTTAATCCATAGCTACCTATTATAAAATAAAAAGGAACTAAACAAAAAATATTACTAACAATGCTATGTTAATGTATAATTTAAGGAGATAGTGAATTTCATGAAATATGTAGGTATTTATGAGGGAACAAAATTATTATGAAAACTTTTTTATTATACCAAATATTATTTTTTATTATACAAAATTCATCAGTATAACTGTCATCATGATATAATATATATAATGACGACAGATATGAACATAAAAAATGATCAAAGCTCTTCACCGCTGATCCTATTTATTTATTTATTTCATACTAGTGAGCCGGTCCGGCTTCGCACGGATAGGTGAAATTTTCGAAAATATTACTCGCTAATACAGTTTTTGAGATTATCCGTTACAAACAAGCAGACAATCAAGTATCTTCTGTTTATAATATTAGTACAGAATAACTATCAGTCAGCTAAATGAGAACGATCTAAACTCTATTTTCTTTAATAGACTACTTTACATACAATATTTAATCATATTATTTTTACATAATTACAATTCATTAACTGAAGAAACGTCCCCAAATAATGAGAAAAAAAGAACAATCAAGGGAAGAAGATAATTAAAACAAAACATGCTTACAAGAGAAAAAAATCAAGTACGTGAAAACTTTTGGTAGGATATATAAGGATGTATATTGTAGATAGTTATTTTCATTCCCAGAATAGAAAGTATTTATACTACATTATTATATTTTAAGAACATTTCAGATTTAGATCAAAGTTGCTATTTGTTCGCAGAAGAAGCTTTCTCGGCTACGAAATGTGTATAAACTTCCATGGTGACGTAACGCTTTGCCTACGAGGATACTAGGAAACTATGATAAAACAAGAATCAGTACGTGTTAGCACGACATCGTGGTAACCATAGTGGGCGCCACGCGCATACTAGTTGTACCCAATAGGGTGGCATAACACAGAGTAGGTGTGAATAGTTTTCCCAAACTATCGACTGTGAGGTGGGAGTGTAGCTGTGACGTAACATGTGCAAAAGGGTAGGGTTATTATGCGAGGTATAAGGCGATCCACGTGAATACTCTTAGATACGGAAGGGAAATACGTCGTATATCCCATACTGCGTGTACCTACGGAGAATTCGCATAATAGACCGACAATTTGCAAAATACAGCAAGGTGATTTTAATAATCATTTATTTATTTTCCTAATTTATTTATTATATAACAACATAAAATAATTCCAGCTATATAATAGTAAATGTATAACAATTGTATAGTGTGATTGTTTGTTTAATATGATTTAATAAATTTAAAAATATAATTTATATTACCTAATTGTTAACCTAACATTTTATATTAATTTACCATAGAAGAATAAATATATAAATACTACAATATTTCTTATGTAATCCTTTTATTCTCATTTTTAATAAAGAAAAAATGAGTCTACTGTAATCATTAAAAACTCGTAGCATCAATCTACGAAGTTTAAACTGTAAACTGAAGTTCGTAGCTTTAAATTATCGTAGCGCAGTCTACGAAGCTACATAGTATGGGCCGTAAAACTAAACGGTAACCGCAACCTCCATCCAATTTAGCATTCCTAGTAAAAGCTAAGGCGAACAATTCCATGGACGCCATTTTGTTGAAATAGAAATTCAATTTTTATTTTTAAACAACTTAAAAAAAAAATATTTTCAATTCGACAGTTTTGTGTATCTGTGTATTTACACTAAAATCTTTCAGAATTCTAATATGATTTTGATGATTTTGATGCAAAAATAATATACTTTTAAAATTGATGTTGCTAATATATAAAAATGAAATCTTAAATTATTTATTTAGCAATATTTTTTGCAATTTTTTAAATTAATCTTTGTACATTACTATAGCAGAATAAATTTCAACAAAATTTTATTACAAAATAGGTTATTATTAGCTGGGCTTAGAAATTGGTAATGTATTGTCAAAATAAAAGAATTATGCTATAGCTATTCATACTCTTCAGATACGTTTGGACCATCTATTGTATAAAATCCCCAAAAGCGGATAGAGGTGTTTCTTTTTTTTTATACCACTGAGGTGGCAAACAAGCATACGGCCCACCTGATGGTAAGCGGTTACCGTAGCCTATGAACACCTGCAATACCAGAGGGATTACGCGCGCGTTGTCGAATAATTATATTTACTAAATATCCCCAAAATCAGTATGAAATCATTTTTAATTACCAAAATAGTAATATTGTCATACATCAAGCAGACGGAAGTCATGGACACATCTAGTTAATAAATATGCATAATGTTCTACAGGACTATCAGCCTTAGTTATTTTTTTTTCTAGAATAAAATTGCTCAAGGGGTAGTTTAACTCTGTATTT